GNTGAAAATAAAAGTAATCAATAAAAATTTTATTGTTGCTGCTGTTGTTGTTGTTGTTGTTATGTGTTTTGTATAATTATTTTTACGTAATATTTTCATGCCAATCCTACTTGATTTAATCTTAAGGTTTATTTCATTGTTATTATTATTGTTATTATTATTATTAGTAGTAGTAGTAGCTGTAGTAGTAGTAGTAGTAGTAGTAGTAGTAGTAGTAGTAGTAGTAGTAGTAGTAGTAGTAGCTGTAGTAGTAGTAGTAGCAGTAGTAGTAGTAAGTAGTGGTAGTAGTAGTAGTAGTAATAATAGTACTACCACCAATGCGGTGGTAGTACTATTATTATTACTATAATTATAAACTTGAAAAGATAGTTGTAGTAGAAATAGTAGTAGTTAGTAGTAGTTGTTGGTGTAGTAGTAGTAGTAGTAGTAGTAGTAGTAGTAGTAGTAGTAGTAGTAGTAGTAGTAGTAGTAGTAGTAGTAGTGGTAGTAGTAGTTGTTGTAGTAGTAGTATCAGTATTAATAACGTTATTTTTATAAACTAAAAATAAGTATATCATTAAACCTGCGTGCAACGTGTAATGAAAAAATTTCGTGTCACTCAATAATTCGAAACGATTGGTACAACAAGAGACAGTAACTAAACGAGACGAGACAGTAACTTAACGAAACGAGACAGTGACTCAAAAAGACAAGACTGTAACTAAACGAGACGAGACAGTAACTAAACGAGACGAGACAGTAACTTAACGAGACGGGACAGTAACTAAACGAGACGAGACAATACTAAAACAATGCTCTTTAATTGATAGCTGTTGTAAAGTAGAAATAATTTGATTGGCTGAGAGACGTATTCACATAATTAAAATCATAGATGTTAAAATTATTTGTCAACGACGACGATGATGATGATGATGATGACAATGGCCATGATGATGATGATGAGGAGGAGGAGGAGGAGGAGGATGATGGTGATGACACGACGATGATGATGATGATTTTTATGAAGCGTTGGTAAATAGTAACAGTGAAGTAAACTCTTGAAATTCTAATTTGAATAATTTTGGATAACTTTTCAAACAATCCGGCCCATAAAGGGTGGTAGATTCCAAATGATGATGATGATGATAATGACTATGACGATGAGTATGATGATTGCGATTACTTTGGTGAAGATGACGATGATGATGAGTATGATGGTGACAATACTGATGATAATGATAGCGTTGATGATGATGACGATACTGATGATGATGATAACGTTGATGATGATGATGATGATGATAGCGTTGATAATGATGATGGTGATGAGGAGGAGGAGGAGGAGGAGGAGGTGGAATATAAAGATGATGACAGAATATAATATGCATTTATGATGACAATGCTAAGAATGGCATGAGCGAAAAAACAATGTTGATGATACGCAACGATATAAGAGGGATTTCATTTAGTGATTAATTAATATAGGGTTCGATTTTATTCTCATATTCATTCAATTTCATACCTCGAGATATTCGTATATTTTGTTGCCCCACTTTTATGCCGATTTACTCGTTAAATTTCATTTCACTGTTTCGGTTGCATTTTGTCAAAGGACGCACAGTAACTACTCATTACTTAACATAACAGCTCTGACGTTCATTTTATTTTTCCTCTTCTCTTTTGTTCCCCCTTCACTGAAGTGACACTGTGGCCTATACGAGTTAATTTTCTTATTTGGTCTCCAAAGACCGTTGATTGCAATTTTTTATTGTGCAGTTTTTTGGTTTTGAATAAATAAATAAATAAATATAATTAAATATAAATAAAAACTAGGAAGCAGTAGACATGCAACAAGCAAACATTATCGACCACCCTACCATGCAACACTGGTTATTCCACCATCATTGTTTACATATCATTTATATTCGTCTATCTGCAATGATTATTTAATCTACTTTAATCAAATATGTTGTTTGTTGAAAAAATTAAGTAAATTTATTCATCTGATTACTTTGGAAGCTTTTCATATTATGATAGGTTTTTAAAACAAACACTGCAAGGTTGCAACAGTACTTTAAATATTAATCTATTAATATGATGTGATAGATTGGTGGTGGTTTTTCGCCAGAGGTTGATGATGTTATGACGGGGTGGTTGGTTTTGTCCATGGGCGTAGACGCCAGGGAGCTTTGAGGCTGAAACCTCCAAGAAATTAAAAATTTGGAAATTTAACTTGCTAGAGTCATTAAGGCTAAACCGAACCAAATCTCTATATAAAAATTAAAAAGTTCAAAGACTAGAAACTGTCTTAGGTTTATTTAAGCTCTGAAGATGTCAATTCTGCCGAACCAGCGCTGTTCGTCATGTTAGACTGCAACTTTTGAATAAATACGAACTGCAAAAAATACCGTTGTGTTGAGTCTATCGTTGAAAGGCTACTTAACTCCAAATTGTCAGCAATTTCCATCAACGTTTGCTTCAATGAAAACTTCCCTCATAAGTAGGTAGAAACCGTTTCGACCCTTTAGCAGAATAATAAAATCAAGTTAGAATACTGCTGCCTTTAATAGCAAAATTTATAGAATGGCGTAAAAATGATGACCAACTTTTTCCAACTTATTTTAGCTTCGCCCATCAAAAATTTCTAGTCCCTCCATTTGTTGTTTCCAACATGCTAATTAACTTGCTGTAAACATGCATTGACCTTTGCTATTTGGCTGCAAAACTAGAGGTTTGTCCTGCTGGCTATATGAATATGTTCAATATTAACCTTTTAAAATTGGTTAAAACTAATCTCAACAATTTATTCAACATTCTAATAAGGGCTCTGACAAAATCGGAATCATGAGGTTGAAAAAAATGAAAAAAGTCAGTTTATAAAGCTTGATTTAGCTGTTTATGTTAAACTCCATGGTTATTGCCGAAACGGAAAATATTGTTATTATTTTCAATTTTAACATTGTTATTATTATTAATTTTAATATTGTTATTATTATTATTATTTTTCAAAACGTAATTATGGAATAATTTTTATTAGCACTCGACACAGCAGGCCTGCGTTGATCTTTATATTTATAGCTCACCTGTTGAGCATTCGGGCAGTGCGGCAAGTTTATTTGAACTTCTTCACAGAACCTTGAAAAACCTTATAAAATAAATATGCCAGTGAATCAATAGTAAATATATCTCTCTTTATTTATCTATCTTTTCTTTCTGAGTTAGTTTCGAACCAGGTCATTACAATATTGTGACTTATGACACGGCACTTCTACCGTCTGAGCTACCCTGTCGACGACCATACCTATTAAATAGAAGTTAGAATAGTTGGATCATACAGAAGAATAATTTTGCGATAATAATAGCGACTATAAAACAATTCAACTCTGAACAGCTGTTGGTAACAAAATCACACTGAAAAAATTAAAGTAATGAAATTTTTCTAATATTAAGAAACATAAACTCAGGCAAAGTTATATGTAGAAGTTGATGAAATAAACACTTTTTTTGTTTACGTTGAGTCAGTCTTGACAGTTAAGCCTCCGAAACGAGGGCAAATAATACTCATTGACTTGTTAATTAAGTAAACATCCCCCAATATAAAATTTGCACTTCATTCGATTCAATCATAACAACAAATACAAACACACACACACACACACACACTTCCACCGATACTCACACACACAAGCTCATACACACATATACTTATACATAGAACACACATTACTTGACAAAAATTACGTAATCTATTATTCACAACAATATTTATAATAATAAACACTTCAGAATTTTGTCAAAAAAACTACATAATTTATTATTCACGACAATATTTATAATAATATACACTTCAGAACATTTCGTAAATGCACATGCTGATTAACTTATGAAAAAATAAATAAAATACAATAAAAATAATTATAAAAATTTAAGTAAATATAAAAACATAAATAAATATATCGTTGAATAAATTCAAATTTTTTGACACTTTATTATTAATATTGCAAAATTTTCTACTCTTTTACCGTTCAGTTATTTTCAATTATCACACACACACACAACACACACACGACGAGCTTTCTCTTTCACACATACAAACACGAAATAAAATTATACAATAATAAAATTTGCGTTCAATGCGACTCGGAATGAAGCAAGCAGTTTTTTGAAGCTTATTGACGATTGTGAATGAATTTTATTCTTTACCGAAAAATTTCATCGGAACTTTCAAATTTCAACAGATGTCACTTTGTCACTTTGTCCACCTCTCCATGGCAAATCACTTTAACATAACTTGGAACGTGATATTCACAGTTACTTTATTGATAATAAAAATCATATTGAGCAAATTTATTGTCAATCATAACAAACTTATTAATAAAACAATCATACTGTAGAAATTAGTCTGACCATAAAGAATACCAACGCATTTATTGCGTTTTTGTTGACAATCTGGGGCAAGAGGTTGCCCTAGATTGCCCAATTTTGAAAATCCCACCTCAGGTACGTCACAATTTTCGGCTTTTCTGATAGACGCCGTTCAGTTGTAAACAGTTTAAAAAATTTAATGCAAATTATCTACACCACTATAGAACGATTGAACATTGAAACTGTTCATAACACAGACGAAACCCTATTATGTAATTTTTTTATTTTGAAGATATGTCTGTCTACAAAATTTTGTTATTAACCCACGATAGGATTTGAAAGAGTGATGAACCCGTTGTCACGTAAGCTTTGTCCCCATCCTACATGCCAGGAGCAGTCACAGACTTTTTGACCTCCTCAACCATCATTAATAAACAGACCCTAATTTACTCTAACAACAATTTTTAAAATTTCAATTTAAATTATAAAAATCATTTATTTACTTTCGTAGCGCAGCAAATGATCACAAGCAGACTTTTATCTAGAAGTCCAGTAGATAGATAGTATCAAAATGGTTGCCAACCAGAGGATAGTATCAAAAGGGTCGTTTAACTAGAAGATAGTATCAAAAGGGTCGCCCGACCAGAGGATAGTATCAAAATGGTCGCCCAACTAGAGGATAGTATCAAAATGGTCTTGGCTTTATAAAGGTTACGAACCGCTGATAAAGAATTTTGCTAATGTGTTATAAATTTTGGGATATTATTTTTTTAACGAATTCAATAATTTTTGATGGATTGCTAATTAGGAAATGAAATTAAATTCAAATTGGATTGTTTATTTACAAATGATACATATATGGGAAAATATCCACATGAAGCAATCAAAAGGATATGGGATTACAAATTTGAAAAGTAAAATAACAATGAATTTTAACAATAAAAACATAAATGGATGTTCTTCAGCTTTGTAGTATGTCATTAACAGAAAATTTTCTCCGCTTCACACTTGCCAAACTTTCAATATCTGAAAAATTATGCTTTCGTTTGTTGTTGCAGTTGCTACTGCAGCTACAGTTGCTACTGCAGCTGTTGATGATGTCGTCGCTGGTCTTCTTCATATTACCGTTGTTGTTGTTGTTGTTGCTGTTGCTGTTGTTGTTGCTGTTGATGTTGTTGACGCTGTTGCTGTTGACGTTGTTGGTGCAGCCTTTGAGGTTGTTGTTATCATCTGCGTCACACTTAACAAGTGGATTTGGGTAAAACTCTTTATCAAATGTTGGTGAATTTGATGATGGTGATGATGATTGAAGGGGCAATGGTGGTGATGATGATGATAATTGAAATGGCAGTGAGGATGACGATGGTTGGAATGATAATGATGATGTTGGTGATGATGTATATTGAAACTGATAATGATGACGATTATGAGGATTGGTTGGCACGTAGTCAAAATTATAAAATTGAGTGAAGGATAAGTTGGATGTATTCATTGAAGGATACGAGAAATAACCATGTGAATTATTGAATGAAGTATTTAATGAATGGGTGAATGAATTGTTGGATGATTGGTTTAAAAATGGATTGAATGAATTGTTGTATGAATGATTGAAAGAATAGTCGAATGAATTATTTGAAAGATGATTGAGCGAATGTTTTAATGAATTATTAAACGATGAATTGTTGTATGATTGGTTTACAAAATGATTTGGTGTATTATTGTATGAATGATTGAATAAATTATCAGAGGAGTTATTTGATAAATGATTGGATGAATTATTGAATGAATGTCGCGGTCCATTGACTAGAGGTGAATTGGTTGCATATAGACTGTCGCTATACGCTGTTGCATCATTTTGCTCTGCATTTAAAATTCCACTAAATGTATTAGAATTATTTTCAATTGGAGATATTGATCCAGTAGAATCAATTGCTAAACATTCTGAGTTTGAATCATCCCCATTGTTAGTTGATTTTTGTGAATCAAAGTTGTTCACCTCTTTGTTAGATTTCATCTTGCTATCATCTTGAAATTTAGCACTGCTTTTATTATGAGCATCATATTTTGTTCCTTCATCATACTTTGGCGTCGAATTAGTTTTAGTGACGTAATTGTTCATTAGATGGAGGTTTCTCTTTTTGTTGTAGTTTTTAGAGCATTTTGGATTGAACCGGATGTGTCTGCTGAGACTGGTTTGTTGCGTGTAGGCTCTGGAGCATGTTGGACAGATGAATGGCTTCAGTGAAGTGTGAATGTTCGAGTGCTGCTTCAGTGCACTTTCGCTGTTAAATGATCGTTCACATTCTAGGCAGATGTGTTGTTGCTGGTGTTGTTGGTTTTGTTGTTGTGTTTGCGGATTTTCTTGTTGTGTTTCTTGTTCCTGGTGTTGGTTGTGGCGTTTTAAATTTCGGTTGGCAGAATGCTGAGACGTCTGCAGCTTCCCATTTTTACAAATTTTGACCACCCTTTCCTGGTTGTTGCTATGAATCATAATTCTTAAATTAAACTACTTTCTTGAAATCTAATCTGCTTTTTACTAAATAAATCTTAAGATTTTTAAATAATTAATGAAAATAAAAATTAGTCCAGTAAATATTGGCGTCGTAAATGGTTATCTTCCAATATTTCAAGAAATTAATTTTTTATAATATGCAAAATGCCGAAAGCACGTTTAAACAAATTGAATAGTTTCTAAAAAAAAATTTTATTATTTTGAAAATATGTTGTAAAATGCTCTGAAAATTTTGAAAATGATCTCAAATTTTTGTTATATATACTCTACTAAACTATCTAAAATTTTTTGCAATTTGTTAAATGTAACTCCAAAATCTTAGCATATATAGAGGCTTTAAAATCACGAAAACCTAACACTTTCACCTTGGAAAATCAATTCTCTTTGATCTCCAATTGAAACATTCTTATCTTAATTTGCATCTAATTGCTTGAATTCTGCCAGCGCGTGTAACTTGACACCTCTAATTGATTGACAGCCAGCTTTTTGTTTAGTAATTGCCCTTTTAACTTCCATCAAACTTGAACATTATCTAATTAACATGTCTTTGTTAGCCTAATCATTAACATATTTTAGAATATATTATTAACAAGTCTTCTGCTTAGCATTAGTTTAAAGTTGACAGAAAAATAAATTAAAATATAAAAATGAATTAGCATAAAATGAACACTCATTCTACTTAAAATTAGTGCATGCACGTGTTCAGTTTTGTAGCAATTGTTTCTATGTATTCGTTTTATGCAAATGATGATGAACAATGATGCACGCGTAGATAACTTTGTATAATCTGTTTAGAACATTTGAAAAAATAATATGTTACGTTGTCGCCTTTACTTTTTACGCACAATCTGCTTTGAGTTTTAGATGATTGAAAAACTAAACTTTCATTTCATCTGACTAGACAAAATGAAAAATTTTTGATAATATTGATAATGGGCAATAAATTTTCCACAAATTTTAATGATTTAAAAATCATTGAAAACCCTTAACTCCAACAAAAACAGCCAGCAAAAACTCCAACTGCAGCAACAAAAAACACGATAACTTCATTAAATCTCAGAAGATGCAGAAACCTAACTTTCATTCTCTCAGATTTAAACAAAATATCTGATCATCGATAACACTGAACCAGCATACTTCAACAAAACGGTGATAATTGGTGGCAACTGACATGTTGTTTACAATCTGACACTGAACACCATTGGCTAACGAAATGGTCTAAATATTTTTTCCATAACTTATTTTAACCTATTTATTGTTTGTTCCAATATTTTAGACATCCAATAAATTTGTAAATTGCAATTTTAAATCGTAAAATCGTAAAATATGAACTAATCATAAACAGAATGTGAACTAATTGAACGTTTTGTTAAAAACTTGTTAAAAGTAATTGTAAACCAATTATAAATAACTAGTTACTAATCAATAATTACAAATTGTTGAACGCAATAACAGAAGATAGTATCTATCGCTTGGACAAAAAAAATTGTTTTTGATTTTCTTATAATAATTATAAAATGTCATTAATATCGTTATTATTAGTTTTGTTGCTGTTGTTGTTGCAGTTTTATTGTAAAAATAATTAACACCAATAGCACATAGGCGATTCTACAATTTTTAAAAACACCCCAAACTGCAAAACGCACTGAATATAACATGAATAAAAACAATCCGGTTAGTTCTGAATCTGTTATTGTAGATTTTGGACGGCTAGTTATTAGGCACTCGTCCAAACGGAGTATTGCATATCTATATATTAACAAATGTACATGTGTGTAAGAAGATTCTTTACATTAAAATTTCCAGTCGACAGAGTTTGCAAATTAAATTGTAGATTTTCGCCGGGCGACATTCGAATTCCGCACCACGCGGTCCCGAACCGCGTCCGCATACGAATATCCACCCGAGCCTTCGCTTCGGCGGAGTCTTTCCTGTCCGGGATCCGCCACTCTACAATAGACCCTCTCAGGGTCTGAAAACACGGGCCGGGCGGAAGTTTGTTCGCGCCCTGCTTGTTGACTAGAGACGCCGACCTCGTCAACTATCAACAAGTCTTCTTCAACATCCATTATTTTAGGTAGAATAATTAAGCCGAGCCAAACTTCAAGTGTACACTTCTTTTATTCAATAAAAGAAATAAAATAACAAACAAAATAATACAAATCAAACCTCTGTCCTTATTAAAACAAAACGATAAGTCCAAAATTAATCTATTAATAATACAACTGACAAGCAAGAGACCAAAACCTAAAATTAAGATAACAAACGACCAGCCCTCCTATGTCTCAACTCGCGGCCTTTTATATGTTTTTACCGCCCTATCTACATAACGCTTTCTATATCATAGAAAATTCTATACTCCTATCTATACTCTTTTCCTATACTCCGAAAAGCGATACAGCACAGCAGCGTCGCATATATAGCATATCAAATAACAAAATATACATGCATAGAATGTCTAGTAAAATATATAGATATATATAGGCGGCACGCCTCAAAGACGCAATCATTATCATCACAATCGTCACAATTTCACAAAATATACAGGCGGCATATTTCAATCGCGCAATCATTATCATCACAATACAGGCGGCATATTTCAATCGCGCAATCATTATCATCACAATCGTCACAACTTCACAAAATTAAATTATAAAAAATTATCTATCAAAGTATTTTTAACAATTTTACAATTTTTGAAAATAATAAATTTAAAAGAACATCTAGGTGGTGTTATCTAGCATAAATGAGGTTAAATTATAATTGATTTTTTAAATTCTTTAACATTTCAACAAATATCATCTTGATGTTTTCTCCCTGATTGTAAGTGAAAAATTTGCTGGTTTGGGAATGTTAAACCTACGAAAGGCTTGTAATGAAAATATAAATGTTTGATGTGCGTATTAAATTAAATTACTATTAATAACAATAACGTAGGTATTATTACATCAAATATAATAAAAATATATTTATGAAATCCAAATGGGTATATTTTTTCTGAAGCTGTAAATATAAATCAACATGTGTGAGCCAAATCGACATTGGGATTAATGATCTTGATATCAGGTATATTGTATGTATACCTTTGAACCACAGTATATAGCATGTATTCATTTACACTGTTTGTTTGTTGATTCTTCTGAACCCAGGAGTTTAATAGACCACCCTGTACTGTATGCCAAAAAGTGATTATTCATATAAAATCGATCTCTGTATATAAAATAATACCTAAATTAAGATTGCTTATTTACTCCAGCATTCCCCGTTTGAGTTATTTGCTTGAATTGTTTGTTTGTTTGTTGTTGATTTCTAAAAAATTATAAATTCGATTGTTTATGAAGAATGTGAACACTTTGTAGAATGTAGGTTGCAAGGTTATGGGCCTTAAACTGGAAGGGGTCATGATCGTTTCCTATTCTGTGGGTAAGAAATGTGCCCTTTTTTTAACAAATTAAGATTTTGCTAAATATTAAATGAAATTATAAAGATTTAATCGAGTGGACATGATAAACATTTTGTTTTGTATTTCCGAACTAATGCTGATATCACATAGAAAATATTCTTTTGCAGGACCACCAAAATTGCTGTTTGAGTTGAGATGTGACGTCGGCTGATTCACCACATTTCGATTTTTTTGTTGACAACAATTTGGCTCGCAGTTCTTTGCTTGTTGCACTAATTAAATTGCCAGCCCTTGTTATTGCGGCCCAATAATTTGTGTTGTTAATCATTTAAAGTTTGTTTGTACCATAATTTTAGGCTAAATAGTTATATATCATTTTCCGAAAAACATCCATCGTAGCTTAGTAGTGATTGTTGTTGTAACTGAAATTAAGCGTTGGCTTCTGACCATTGTGCCAAAGTTTTGAGTAATTTGACGCCCAATAGAGGTGGTTCTATTGTTTCTGTTGTTGGAGGCGGCAAAGACGACGATGTCGGATGAGTTGATGGGTGAGGGGATTGCTGCTTCAGGGAAGTGTGGTGGTGTCAATGTCGCTTATGGAGTTGTTTGCAAGTTGGAGTTCTCTAAGCATTTTGCATGAGTGTTGGTGCATAATTAATCCTTTTTTGCCTTTACAACATTTTCCGCACAGTTTAATACTATATTATTTTTTAAGTTAATTGAACCATCGTCTACAAAATTTGCGTTATAAATATTAGGCACTAAAAATATAATATATTTTTACGTTATATTTTTCAGTTTAATATAATCGCATTGTTAATGTTGTTAGCGTAAGAATATTGAAATTGGACAAGTAAAAATTATTTTTCTAAATATAGAAATATTATAACTTCAAAGAGCAGCGGTTTTCAACTTGTGTTTCCGTACCCCATCTGATCAGGGTTAAAATTGTGATTTGCCAGGGATATCCAAAACATTCAAATTTATGCTTTTCAATGTAAAAAGCTTTTTATTGTTTTGCTTCTTTTATGTATGAAGCTTGTCATTGCATAACTGTTTGAGCTGAAAAGTTATAAATACTTCAGTTTAAGAAGAAAAATACTTTTTATTCTTGATTATCACAAAGGGAGAAAGTATCAAAAAAGTCGCGGCACTGTAAAGGTTCAGAACCGCTGATTAGGAGCATAGCTGGTGTGTTTTAACTTATATGATGTTATTCTTACGAAATGATTAATTTTAGATTCATTGCTCATTGAGAAACGAGTGTAAATTCAAATTGTAATGTTTATTTACATGGAATACGTACATGAATAAATATCTACATGAAACCATAATAGAGATACAAATTTAGTTACAAATTTAGAAAAAAAAATGAATAAGAAGTATTATAATAAAACAAATTTTGTCAATAAAAACTAGTTTGTTGTCTTTCAGCTCTGTAATATATCATCCACAAAAAATTTTCTTCTTTTCACATTCTCTAAACTTTCAATATCTGAGAAATTTTGCTTCCGTTTGTTGTTGTTGATGTTGTAGTTGTCGTTGTTGATGAGGATATTGTTGTTGTTCTTCATATTATCAATATTCTTTTTGACGTTAGAGTTGTTATAGCTGCTGTTGCTGATGCTGCAGCTGATGCCATTGCTGCTGTTGTTGTTGATGTTGTTGATGCCGTTGCTATTGATGTTGTTGATGCAGCTTTTGAGATTGTTGTTATCATCTGCGTCACACTTAACAAGTGAATTTGAGTAAAACTTCTTAGCAAATGTCGGTGAGTTTGATGATGGTGATGACGATTGGAAGGGCACTGGTGGTGGTGTTGATGATAATTGGAATGGCAGTGGTGATGACGATGATTGGAATGATAATGATGATGTTGGTGATGATGTATATTGAAACTGATAATGATGACGATTATGAAAATTGGTTGGCATGTAGTCAAAATTATAAAATTGAGTGAAGGATAAGTTGGATGCATTCATTGAATGATACGAGAAATAACCATGTGAATTATTGAATGAATTATTGAATGAATAGCTGGATGATTGTTTAAAAAATTGATTGAGTGAATTTTTGCATGAATTATTGAAAGAATAATTGGATGAATTATTTGAAAGATAGTTGAGGGAATGTGTAAAAGGTATATTAAACGAATGGCTAGGTGAATTGTTGAATGATTGGTTTATAAATTGATTGGGTGGATTATTGTATGTATGATTGAATGAATTATCAAGTGAATGATTTGATAAATGACTGAGTGGTATACTGAATGAATGTTGTGATAAATTGATTAGATGTGAATTGGTTGCATATAGACTGTCGCTATACGCTGTTGCATCATTTTGCTCTGCATTTAAAATTCCACTAAATGTATTAGAATTATTTTCAATTGGAGATATTGATCCAGTAGAATCAATTGCTAAACATTCTGAGTTTGAATCATCCCCATTGTTAGTTGATTTTTGTGAATCAAAGTTGTTCACCTCTTTGTTAGATTTCATCTTGCTATCATCTTGAAATTTAGCACTGCTTTTATTATGAGCATCATATTTTGTTCCTTCATCATACTTTGGCGTCGAATTAGTTTTAGTGACGTAATTGTTCATTAGATGGAGGTTTCTCTTTTTGTTGTAGTTTTTAGAGCATTTTGGATTGAACCGGATGTGTCTGCTGAGACTGGTTTGTTGCGTGTAGGCTCTGGAGCATGTTGGACAGATGAATGGCTTCAGTGAAGTGTGAATGTTCGAGTGCTGCTTCAGTGCACTTTCGCTGTTAAATGATCGTTCACATTCTTGGCAGATGTGTTGTTGCTGGTGTTGTTGGTCTTGTTGTTGTTTTGTTTGCTGATTTTCTTGTTCCTGATGTTGGTTTTCGCATTTTATATTTTGTTCGTCGAAATGCTGAGATATCTGCAGCTTTCCATTTTTACAAATTTCGACTACCCTTTTCTGATTGTTCCTAGGTTCCATGGTTTTTAAATTAAACCAATTTTTAGAAATATCAACCTGTTTTTCACTGAATAAATTTTAAAACTTTCAACTAATTAAGGAAAATTCAAAACTATTTTAGGAAATATTAGCGTCGTAAATGGTTTCCTTCCAATATTTCAGGAAATTAAATTTTTATATTATGCAAAATGCTGATAGCACGTTTAAACAAATTGAATAGTTTCTAAAAAAAATTTTTATTATTTTGAAAATATGTTGTAAAATGCTCTGAAAATTTTGAAAATGATCTCAAATTTCTGTTATATATACTCTACTAAACTATCTAAAATTTTTTGCAATTTGTTAAATGTAACTCCAAAATCTTAGCATATATAGAGGCTTTAAAATCACGAAAACCTAACACTTTCACCTTGGAAAATCAATTCTCTTTGATCTCCAATTGAAACATTCTTATCTTAATTTGCATCTAATTGCTTGAATTCTGCCAGCGCGTGCAACTTGACACCTCTAATTGATTGACAGCCAGCTTTTTGTTTAGTAATTGCCCTTTTAACTTCCATCAAACTTGAACATTATCTAATTAACATGTCTTTGTTAGCCTAATCATTAACATATTTTAGAATATATTATTAACAAGTCTTCTGCTTAGCATTAGTTTAAAGTTGACAGAAAAATAAATTAAAATATAAAAATGAATTAGCATAAAATGAACACTCATTCTACTTAAAATTAGTGCTTGCACGTGTTCAGTTTTGTAGCAATAGTTTCTATGTATTCGTTTTATGCAAATGATGATGAGCAATGATGCACGCGTGGATAACTTTGTATAATCTGTTTAGAACATTTGAAAAAATAATTTGCATACGCGCCGTGTTACGTTGTCGCCTTTGCTTTTTCAACACAATCTGCGTTAAGTTTAGTTGATTGAAAAACTAAACTTTCATTTCATCTGACTTAACAAGATGAACAAATTTTGATAATACTGATAATAGGAAATAAATTTACAACAAATTTTTTGAATGTTTAGTTTTATTTATTTAAATTTCATTGAAAACCCTTAACTCCAACAACCAGCAACAACTTCAACTGCAACAACAGTGAATACCATTAACTGCATTAAATTTCAGAAACCCAACTTTCATTCTATCAAATTTCATCATCATGGTTATGTCGGTTGTGACTGTGGTGGTGAAGAGGATGATATAAATAACATAAAAATAATCATAAATGATAAAATATCTTATGAATAATGATTAAAATATAATTATATCATATTGTAATGTCCTAGAATATAATATTCTATCTCATCAGCAAACGTTGATTGATTGGACATAAAATCATAAAATGAATCCGGTAACAAAAAATATATAGGACGAATTTTGCTTCAATATGCGTGTGACCAGCTTCAAAACTCAAAGGGCTTTTACTCAAGGAGCAACATGGCCGGTTTAGTTTATTATTTATATTTAGCTTTCGTTTTTTATTTAAGGTGTTTATGAAATTCAAAAATTAGCGTTGTCGAAATATTTATTGATTTGTAGTATTTAATATGTTTTAAAATAATTAATAATTTTACTTTATTATAAAAAAATATTGTAAAAATTATAAAACTTTTTTATTGCTTCAAGCGATTGAAACTAATTAAAAATATATTGCAAATTTTGTTTAATCGCTAGATTTTTTAATGTCATTTTACACAAATTTAAAAATTTTTTTAAAAACATTGCAAAAATTTTAATTTTAATTACTTTATAGACAACTTGATAATACATATCTATTTTAAAAAATTTCAATCTAAAAACAATATTTATTAGTTGAACAACAAATTAACGAAAGTAATTTATAATAACAATCCTTATAACCCGTTTAGATGTGTATACGGCCAAATTTAAACAGACGGTTCAACGCGGCCATTCATCCCATTGCAGTAATTGCGGGTTTCATTTTATTCGATTAACTATTAAACTGCCTATTAATATTAATTAAATTTAGTTTAATTAATTGAATGTACTAAATGTCAATAAAATATTATTCTAACTAAGCAAACGAGCCAATGACCCTCAATTCAATTCAATGAAATTATCGTCCAAAAAGTAATCTAAAAGAAGTAAATCAGTATTGGTTGAGTTGAATCAACACTGAATCATTAGCACTCATCCAGTGGTGGATCCTGTCCTGGGGAGATTGCGGGGGTGCATTCTTCTCTACCAAACCATGAAAGAAGAAAGTATTGTGCACGATACGATACGATACGTTACAACCCGATACGATACAATAGTATTGTTATAATACTCGCTGTCGTAACCGATTTACGATGCGACGGGTTCAAATCCTCGATTGAATAAAATATTCCAAACAGTTATTAAACTTTATTTACAGAAGAAATCAACTATTATTAGTTATTAAACTTTATTTACAGAAGAAATCAACTAATCGTTTATTTCCAGTAAATTCAAACTAACGCAACAATTAACTTTTAAATAAGTGACTTATAAGTGTGAGTGATGTTCAGGTCCTGTGGTCTGTCGAGGTTGTGACCTTGGTGGGTGGGACTCCAGAATATAGAGTGTAGAAGACCTGTTTGAAGGATGCAATGCCGGTCAAGTTGATTGAAGTCACCTCCAAGGATGAGCTTTGTATCGCTCCTCAACGCATTGTTGAAGAATTCCTCGATGGAACCAAGCAAAGAGAGGACTTCGTAAGATGGGTGATTTGATGGATGATAGATGGCGCAGATGAAGTATGATTTACTGTCAATAATGCATTTGAGAAAAAGGGTTTCCAGTGCATCATTGACAGCATGAGGCGAGAGGATGTGAATTTGAAATGATTGAAAATTGTCAGAGATATTTTCAGATATAGAATATTTATGCTTTATAACTTAAGATTTTTCACATGAGAAGATATGCCGTATTGTTAAGGTTTTGTGGCAATGTTAACAGGTTGGAGGATGCGTTTTGTTTACTAGATAATTGTGCCTTGGTATGTCCTTTCATTATTTTAAACAATTTACTGAGTGCAAATCGATTATTACATATTTTTGTATTTCCCAATCTCTGGATATGGGTATATGCGTCGAAGAAAAGTGTTAGCTAGGTTTCATTTGCTTTGCCATAGGGTATGTACATGAAATTAAAATTGATTTTATTATTATTCATTTTTCAACATTTTACAAACAGTCTATATTAAAGTTCATACTTAGGCGGGCATGATTTTTAATCCATTTGACACTAAATAAATGAGTGTAACTCAGTCTCACGTACGATGCTGAAAGTAAATTAAAAACAATTCAGTTAGCTTGCTATCAACATTGCACCTGAATATTAAATTAAAAAACTAAGTTTTTCCGGTTGGTTAAGACTGTTGATTTCAATTAAACTTTTTCACACAAATATCTTTACAAGTACAAAATGTCTGCCTGATGGAAAGGATGAATCTTGACCTATACTCTTGCCAAAAAATTTTTTTGTATAATTATTGTTTTAGTAGCCAAAAATTTATTTGAAGTCTATTGTTTTGTTTTAAAAACCTGTATTTTTTACTCAAAAATTGCTAAAAAAAAGTTTGTTAAGAGTATTTCATAACTCTGGCGATAGAGCTTTGCAGTGCGTTATGTAGGTTTGAAAATTGAGGTTTCATAATCAAGGTTTCATAAAGTTTTGATTTTTATAAACTCTAACAAAGTTTTCTACTGTAATCAAGTAAAATAAGATTTTATAAATGTTTTTAAAAATTTCAATAAGAGAAGCACAATCCCTCTCGATGCAATTGGTGAAAAATAATGTGAGAGGTAAACGTGTGCTTCCCTAGAGAAAACCATTTACTCATATTGGTAATGACTGCAAAGAGATCAAGAAGATTTCGTATAATAAAAAATCAAACAAATAAAAATGATATCAATAGTGAGCGCAAGCCCTAAAATGCGTTTGTAGTACCTCTCACACCACGCTGGACAACACAGAGGACATCGAAGTCTGAAAAGCGGACGCCTCCTGTGCGAATAATCATCGTCACTCGAATCGTCATGTACACGGATAGCATAACTAGAACCATGGTAGGATGGAGGCGGGGAATATGGAGGCAGGACCCGGAAATCGTTTCTTTCTCCAGAGATCGTTTCCTGCTGCTCGCTTCGGTCTCTATTTGTTTGATATCTATCGTGGGTTTAAAATTTGAGTTTCAAATGTAATTTTGCATCAACTTCTTTATTACTGGCATGTAGTTTTATAACGAACCTGTCAGCCACTGAACCTGAAGATGACTGTATAGAATTCCGTGCAAGTTGCGCCGCCGGGTTTCTAACAGGACCTAAATCTAAATCACCCTCACTTCTTGCTCTTTGGTTGAGAGTCGTCCTTCCCACAGTATCCAGGCTTGGTCTTCCCTCTATTCTATCACATCTAACAAAAATTTCAGTCTCATTCTTTTTCAATTATAATGCCGTAAGAAAAACTGACAGAAATATGGATGTAATTCTGGCAAAAAAGTTTTCATTGAAACGTGTAGTAAACCTGTTTTCGTGTACAGCGTTCAATTCTGATTGAGAATATGTCGGTGGCCGTGGTGGACCGACCGCATACCATCTAAAAGTCTCCAGACGTAATCGTGGGCTCCTTAAGCTTCCGCTAGTGTAAATCTCGCACTCTTCCGAACTGAAGTAGAAATGAATACGTTATATCAAAAAGGAATACAAAACCTATTATAACTACATACTAACCAACGAAATAATATGGCAGCTAACAAACCAAATCCAATTGAAACAAGAAGTACCAATACTTTAATAAAGTTAAATAGTTTTATATTAACAAAATTTGTAGTTGGTAGCTAAATTCCAAAGAGTTAGTCATTATTATCGAGTGCCTATCTTCATAGTTCGGTTTAGTGTGGATCAGTAAATTTGTACAGTGTTAGCATCACTGACGTCACAAACTCTCGTTATTTAAATGAAATTTTAATTAAGCTGTGTATAGGAACTTACTAAAGAAGAGCCATGTCATGTTAAGCGAATCTTTTCTCTTAATCAAGAAAAAAAGATTTGTATCTTTCCAAAGTTTTTAAAAAAAGTTTTCTAAATAAAACAAATAATAATTATTTTTCTACTTATTTTTACGCACTTCTCAATAAAATAATTACAAAACTTGCAGATTAAATTCGCTTATAATTTTTTGAACAATAAAATCCAATAATTTTTATTTTAAATCAAAATATAAAAACTTTAAACCACGCAAATAAAAAATTTTATGCTTAAGCTGCTTATAGTGATTATCACAAATTAATTAAAATCACGGTAAAATCTCAAATTAATTAAAATCACGGTAAAATCTCAAATTAATTAAAATCACGGTAAATTTAACGTTGAACGGTCGGCACTAAAGAAAATATCTAACTGAACTAACAACCACAATAACACACCTTACTAGAATACAAATAAGAGATTTGTCAAATTTGTCAACACAGTTGAATACACCATGTTTATATACCGCTGTCGTTTCGTTTGTTTTGTTGCGTTCTTAATACTGACCTGCTATCGAACGCCATTAAAACACGACACAAAAGCAAAATTCAAAACGAAACGACAACTGGTTCATTACAAATATACAACTGTAGTAATTAATGTATCCACTGAAAATGATTTTCTCTCTCTCTTTCATTTATTTCAACTTATCATAGACAAACAATTCATATGATGTTAATTCATTTTTAACTAATTCTAAGAGGCATAAACAACACTTTAAGTGCATATGAATACGCGTGGTGAATCCACACACGATCTCCTACACAACGCATGTGACGATATAGGAGATCCATGCATTTGACCACTGCACTGTAGCCCTTGTAACCTCAGAACCAGACACCTTACCACTACACTACCAGTGTAGAAATCGAGTATGAGTTTATTGCAAGTAACAGGAAGAGGGCGAGCTGATGGAAAAACTATTCAATGATGAGTAACTTTTTAAAAATCACTCCGAACCAATGGGCGCTGATATTTTATGAAATGATAGCAAATGATGTAACGAATAGGCTTCATTCTTCTTTTCTTTGACAGCCCAAACAAAAAATCCATGCAGCATTACGTCTCATTATAATTTTATTTTTTTTAAGTGTTAACATTAAAAAATTTTGCGATGTTAACAACGTCTGCGTGGGAAACAATTTTTGTTGAAGGATGGTAGATGCTCCATCATATCCTTGTCCTCTTAAATGTTCCATTTGAAGACCAAATTCACTAAGCTTAACAACAATTACCGCTGCAAGGCCATGGCCAAAAACATCATATATTGGAACAAATGATAAAAAATCCTCTTAAAATTAGTATACCATTGTCATCAATACTTACATATCGTAAACACAGGGAAAATTGTTCAGTTTGTGAAATATCAGTTGTTTCATCAGCTAAAATTGAAAAAAATTGTCTTTGCTGAACAATTTCGATAATTTTTTTCTGTATGAGATAACCAAATGAATTTATTATTTCATTCTGTATTTCAGGACTGGTATATAAAGCGTTTTTTGCAGATTGTTGTAAATGATTTTGTAAAACTGCATCTCTTCCGTTGGCTCTAAATCTTAACAAGCTTCGAAGTTACCATCAATTTTCTTTGGAGTTATTAAATTTATTCGTCCTACTTCATTATTGCTTCTTAATGAAAAGCCTTACTAACCACAAAAACGTATAGATTCTATTATAGGTTTAAATGTCTCTCTATTATCTATTGCTTTTTTCTTTTTATGAGTATCTATTTGTTTATCAATACTATCCATTTTATTAGAAGCAATGGCTTCAATATTACTTTCTGCTAAAACAGAATTTTTATGATACACTGTTGATTCATGTTGCCTAAAAGACTCCAAAGCCTTTTTCAAATTTGTGTGTGGTTCATTGATAAGAGTTCCAATTGTTTCATGTTTACCTTTACCAACCATTTTGTCTGTTAAAAATATTACACACGTTGAACACTTTTAAACTTCTATAACCAATCATACTGAAAGCGTCTTGTAAATTTTCCTATATCATTGTAAATAAATTTTTTGTAACTATTTATTGGTTTTCAAAGAAAGTCTCTTGCTTCAATTTTTCATGGTTGTTTAATTTTACGCCGACCTAATCAACTATGTCTTTTTTTGTTTTTGAACATGGTGCATCAAAATTATCTTTTGGGATAGATAAGGACGAAACGTTTTTCTCATTGCCCTACAGCTCCAATTCATTGTTAATGTTCACAAGACTCTCAAACTCAGATGTACCAACTTCCAACTCTGTGTCAACAAGGTTTTCGATTCATCACAACATAACGATTTTGGTATTTTTGTTAAATAACTCAATAAATTGTTTTCCTGCTTATTTGTTCTTTTCATGGCAAAACTTTACTTTAGAAACTTAACACAGAAATTTAAAAGTGAAAACGAGAGAACATTTAATGCTTAAATATGTTTAAAAGTGAATTGTTATTAAGGCTGTTCCTAATTAGAATGTCGATATTAAGGTTTTAACGTAAAATACTGAAAAAAGTTTTAAAAAATTAATAAATCTTTTTAACTTTCATCAATTATTTAATAATTTTGTAGGGTTAACATAAAAGTTTCGGTATTCTTTTAAAGAGATAGATTTTACGTTGTAGGCATTTAAGTAAACTCACATGCTTGCATGGTTATGTGCGTAGGAATTAAAATAAACGTTCATACAATTATATTTGCACGTATTTTGACATGTAATTCGATAAGTAGGCATTAAAATAAATTTCCATGCATTATTTGCAAGTATTTTACTATGCAATTTAACGGATAGGCATTAAAATAAACACATAATTAATGATTGCTACAAAAAATTATCAATGTAAATTATTTGCAGCCCCCAGCTACTGCTTTGTTCGGTATAATAATAAAATTTGAGAACGCTGGAAAAGTGCTTGTAGAAATCTGGTCTAACGTGGTATTTGATGGTTATCCAACAATTTCGGAATATTTTAATCCTGACGCATCCGAATTGAAGGCTAATAATTTACTTAACAGATCTGTCCATTGGTTTTTAAACCATGTTCGAACAAGCCAGTATTATTTGCTAATTGTCAAATGTGCAGATAATAATTGTTGCTCCAAATTTAGAAGCGATCTGTTAAAATTCGTCCCTGAACGATTTCAGCCACATCCAGTTCCAATTAGTCAAATTAGTCAAGGCCTATAAACGCAGTACATTGGTGAAACTACTAGCAATTTTCAAAATCTATTTGTTAGTTTTATATTGAAAAATAAAATAACCTTTCTAAACATCTTGTCCCAGTTTTCACAGTTCCCATATGTTGCAGAATTCAGAATTCAAGGTTCTTTTAAAAACCGCATCTGCGAAATATGTGGGTTATATAATGCTTCAATTGTGATGGCAAAAAAGGATCATGTTATTCGCAAAACATCTTTATTTCAGCATAATAAAGTTAGACTAGTCAGAGTTGCTGCTAGACGTCAGAGGGAACTTGCAGTAAATGCATTTGAAGAAAACGAAGATGTTGAATGACTGAATGAAGATGACATGGACACTACCAACATAGAGTTGCCAAATATGCCAAAAGAAGAAAGTCCATGTTATTCATTGGTTTCAGTTTCACAGCACCTGGCCAGCCTTTGGGAGGAAAGCAATTCGTGACCTTTCATATTAATTCGTCATATTTTAACAACGGTAAAGCATTTAGATATCAAACTATTGTCATATAAACTTTTCATTCGTTATTTTGATATCAATAAAAAATGAAACGCGTAGAACAATTACATTGTTTAATGACTCTACATTATAGTTTTGTGAAATGCTTTTTTTTGGGGGGTTGGTCGATTTGTGACAGTCTGTGACTCGGGAGAGAGGGGGTGTCAAAAAACATTAAAAAAGCGTGACATCCTTTATGGACAGCCCCTAAATTCGAATTCAAACACATATTCAGACGCATATTCAAATTCGTAATCAAATGCTCATTCAAATACATATTCAAATACATATTTACATACTGTTGCAATAAAGTTTGAGGTGTTTTTTTTTTTAAATTTCATCGTTAACATTGAAAATTAATTTTTTTTCATGTATTAAAACATGTATATAAATGTTTTAAAACATGTATATAAAGTTATTTTATTGAAAAAAAAACAATTACATTAACTGATTATAAGTGTTTTGTGTAAAAATATTTCATTTAGTAGTGACATTTAAATAAAATAATGATGCCAAAGTTAAAATTTTTGGTTGAAGTTGTCGGTAGTTAAAGTAGAAAATTTTTGAATGATACTCTGAACGCCAAATTGATGTTCCAAGATATCGAAAGGCTGTCAGAAATCGTTGGAGACGTTTCTTCGGTGATTGCGGAACGGAAAGGATGGATGAATGAACGAACGAACGAATGAAGAAACAAATCAATCAACCAACCAACCAATAAACCTGTCAAATATGTGCATTTGTTTATTCAAATGTGAGCATTAGATGAAACACTTCCTTCGTCACGAATTCATCTCCAAAAAACATCTGCTTCCGAAAATTTACATGAAACTCATTTGCACTCATCAATAAGTTTTTAAATAAATTTTTTCAATGTTTTTAATAATTTTTTAAAAACGGAATCAGACAAACGCAGAAACTGTTACAGCATGCAAGGCAATAGATTTAAATGACAGCAAAAATAAATTACGGAAATAAAATGTTTAAGCTTAAAAATATGAAAATAAAATAAAGCAATGGTTTAAAAGGGCAAATAAATAAAATAATTTATTAATAGACTAGTCAATGACTTAGTATGTCAGTTAAGTGATCGATAAGAGAAAATAAATTTAGTAAATTACAGAATGTTCCTCAACATTTCTTGTCAAGTTGAAGTTGAATCAAGAATAGAATTATACCAAAGTTAGATGTGAATCCAATCATTCGTTATTAATATTACCAATAAAAATATTTTTGTTGCAAAACTTTTCAATGTATCTGCCAGTGTGGCAATCGATATAACTGTCATTAGATCAAATTGAGTTCAATTTATAACTGTTCTCACTAATGAATCAACCGCTCGGTATGTATATTTAGTCGTAACTGAATTTTTTAGCCACATCACATTTGTAGCCAAAATCTGTGCAATCCACAGCGCACAACGTACGTGCGCGCGTGCGTGTGTGTGCGCGCGCGCGCGTGTGTGTGTTTGTGTGTGTGTGGTGTGTGTGTGTGCCGTAAAGAAAGATAATGAGATATTCAAATTTTTTTAATTTCAATATGATAAATCTTAAATCTGACGTGGCCTATATGCAAATGTCTTCTGTTTCAAGTTATATAAATGTTACAAATCTGGAGGTAGGCAATGCCATTCGAGAGCTCATCGACATCCTAGTAAGACTAAACAACTTTATTTATTAAAATTGTATCAAGTTTGTCAGGGTAATTTTTAATTAATTTTTCATTTAGTTTTAATTCAAATTATTGTTTTTTAAACCATAAAAAAGCGAAATCTTTTATTAAATTAATAAAAGATTTATTTTCACATTTAACACAAAATATGCAATGAATGACGATGTTTAAATATTTGAAATATCCGTTCTTGGCTATAATAATAACTTTTTATGAATAAATAATTCTAAAGTTGTAATTTTCGTTCATTTACTTTGTTCTACAATTACAAATCTAACAATTAATCTTTCAGGTCAAAAAATAAACGGCAACAGTAGAATCAACATACACTTACAAACTTCAACAAGATGTTAGTTCCAAAAAGTGAATCCCCTTTCTTTGCCTTTCATTTCACCTTTTTCATCATCTTCGTTATCCTCACTTCAAACCTAGCTGATACTCTGTCTGTCCATACAACTTCTCGAACTAGCGGAGATAGATATAGTGACTATTATTTGCTCTCTGATAGTTATAGAAGTGAACCTCAGATTAACGATGTTGATGAAACTACACCAGCTAGTCAAGAGGGACACCAGCTCTCTGATAGTGACGAGATTGAACCTCAGATTATCGATGTTGATGAAATTACACCAGCTAGTCAAGAGGGACACCAGCTCTCTGATAGTGACAAAATTGAACCTCAGATTAACGATGTTGATGAAGTTACACCAGCTAGTCAAGAGGAACATCAGCTCTATGATAGTGAACTTCAGATTAACGAGATGTTTCAAATTGAGACGTGGCTAAAAAAAGGACAAAGACGTACAAATGAAGATAGAAGACGTAAAGGGGAGAATAAGAGACGTAAGGAGGAAGATGAAAAACGTATAGAGGAAGATAAAAAATTTAAAGGAGAAGATGAAAGACGCAAAGAAGAAGATGAGAGACGCAAAGAGGAAGATGAGAGACGCGAAGAGGAAAATGAAAGACGTAGAGAGGAAGATGAGAAACGTAGAGAGGAAGATGAAAAACGTAAAATGGAAGATAAAAAACGTAAAGAAGAAGATGAAAGACGTATAGTGGAAAACGAAGAACGTAAAGAGGAAGATAGACTACTATGGTCGATGCTTGGACATAATTATTAAATGATAAGTGGTTATTATGATATTCTAACACCAAATATCAGAACTATAATAAATGTTATATATAATAATTATACACAATAAACTGATAATATTTCTGCTTTTAAATTTTTTTTTTTCGATTGGTTGTTTTTTTCTGTGAAGGAATAAATTGTTCATGCATCATTTGCGTTGAGTTTTTTGTTTCTTTTTCAGAGTCCATTCTTTTGCATCGGAAAAGGTTTGTTTTCGAGTATCGCACATTTTCGAGAGTTCAGAGTTCTTCGTTGAAGTGCGCGCTTTTTAACGGCTTCTTCTCCGTCAGTTGATCTATCCTTGTTCAAGTTTTGTGCTAGCTAAGTGAAACACGAAACGATGTTGAACGTTTAATTATTTCAACATCACAAAATTCAACACAAATATTCTTTCAAAAACAAAGATTGTTCAATAAGATAAATTAATGAATCAACTCAAAGCAAAATCTGAGAAATCAATCAACTAACCAACTGATCAACTGACCATATATGCATTGTAAATTGAATTGTTACTAACAATTCATTTATACTGTTAATACCGCTGCAACTGTCAAATTGCGCTATATTATTTGCTATTTTGATTATTCGTTTTCTTTGTTATCTTTGCTATATTTGTAATCTTTGGATTTTAAAATATCCTTGTATATAAGGAGTTTAAGTAGCGAAGGCAATAGCGAGGTTTCCTGGGAGGTTTGGAGCGGAAATCTTGACCCTTTTTATTTTCTTTCTTTTTTTGGTCTTTATTATTGCAGCTCTGACATACGCAGAACCACTTACAATGTTACAGATATATTATCTATATATTTTATTATATCATATCTTCATCCATTGATATGAAGCAGCCATCTTTGCCAATAAGGCTGTTTATCCTTTTCACACGACGTACACATGTATTTATGTGCACGCGCAAGCACCGCATCATAAACTCTGAGTATATGATAGCCATTGAGATGTTTGACTCAGCGAGCATTCGAACCACTGAACCATCTCGCCGGCCAACATGCGACAACTTACGTCGTCTACCCATTTTTCGACCTCGAAAGGATGGACGGCTGGGTTAGCCTACGGAATAACGATAACTTGACGATCGTTGGAAGCTAATACACTGGTTTGGGAAATGGAGATCAGTAAGTTATAACATTTTTGTTTGTAGTGTTACAACAATACATTCCATGTAGCGGAGAAGTAGGTGTTGAGAACAGCCCATTATTCAATACAACAATGTTGTAGAGTTTTTTCTAACAAGTTTATTTCATGAGTATGATGAAGATTATCAATAGCGGCTTAACATGGAAAATTGTTTTGCTTGATAGCAGCGAAACACATTTTAACGCATTGTCGTCTTGAGAAAAGTTTGTAAAGGTTTGAAAGTGCGATATGTTATTTGAAGAATTCAAATGTACAGTAGGGCCTAAGTCAAATATGTTATTTAAAGAATTAAAATTTACTGTACATTTTTAAAGTTCTTCTCTTCATATGTACAAGCCACAGGTGCAATATACCAGAACAGCAACTACACGCATCTTAAAATTGCAGAAGCAGTCCTAATTGACATCAATAAACCAAAAATAAATATACAACAAAAAATGACAACCTCATTCCCAACCCGGCGCTTAATCAACAATGAAAACAAAGAAGTAATAAAAACTAGCATAGTAAATAGTGACAAAGAAGAATTTGATGTTATCGATGAAGAAAAGGAGACCAAAGTAGGTGACCAGCCAATAAAGAAACCTGACACCTAATTTCCATCTAAGTTCATTGTGACAAAGTCAATCTCCATCTAAGTTCATTTTGACAAAGTCAATATTTCCCTATATAAACAGCAGAAAGCACTGATGATGATTCATTCGGAATCGAAATATGGCTTTATTTGCAGCATGAATTTGGAAAATAAGTTTATTTTGAATTTTAATAAACTAAACGTTCACCAAAAAACTTTAGTGAGAAAAATTGAAAAAACGAAATACAAACATATTAACGCCAAACATTCGGTAGAATTTATAGAATATTGTAAAAATTATGGTCTATTACCAACATATATATATATATATATATATATATATATATATATATATATATATTATATGTATAGAATGTGTTAAATTTTATATATATGATATAATCTAATGTATAACAAGTAAGAAAATTATGCAAGTGTCAGTTGCCGAACTCTGGAATGAAATGGATAACATGATCAGTATCATTAGCAGATTGCACAATAACATACCTGTGTCGTATTTAAAACACCGATATAGAAAGTCATAGGGCCAGGAGGTAGTATCTGTTATTTTGGGATTTTGTCCACAGAGGTCGTAGTCCCGTCTGTCTACAACTGATCACTAGCTCCTGGTCAGTTCATCTATGTAGTTTGATAATCTCCCACAATCATTCAATTAAAATGTTATTTTAAAGTAATATTTAATGTTTCAAACTTTATTTATCTCACTCTCACCGCAGCGTACCGCTATATTGACCGGCATGGCATAACGGACAGTGTATACAACCAACAAATCAACAGCCATCCTGTTCGAAGAAGCTTCATCACTATGGAAGCATCCATTCAACGCAAAGATATCCTAACCTGCATCGAAAGCCTATTTTGACTCAAATTTGTAAATGTGGGCTTGGTTACAATCACCAGCTTTCCAGTCGGTTACTAAGTTTTTGAGTTAGTGTTTGAAGGTAGTAGGTAGAAAAGATTTCTCAGAAATATGAGCTCCAAACTTTTAAAAATTCATCTCAAAATGTCCTGGAACTTTATTAGCTGTTACCTTGCCATGAATAAACACAAGTAACTCGATTCTGGTAAATTTGACCAACTGCAGCTAATTAAATAGCTGCAGTTGGTTGAATTGCATCATCACAACTTCATTGCATCAACGAAGTATGAGCAATTTTGTAGTTATACAATATTTTAAATCAACACCATTAAAAATGAGTGGACGAATTTATTTATCTGAAGTTTTTTACATTTTGTATGGACCTTGAAACGAATGAAGGGTGGTCTCCCTACAACTTTTAAATGTTTTCCCTTCACTATTTCTGTTTCATTGTGAAGACTTTCCGATTCTTCAATCATAATTGCCATTTTGACGATGTTTGTTGTTGCAAGAATTTGTTTTCCGCTTCAATTTTTTACATTGACATCTTAGCGTATTAGTTCATGATTTTAAAAATCTTTGCAACAAGTTAGGCTCTCATCATGCTCTGCTAGATTCTTACGTGTTTTGGCTTTGTTTCAAAAACTGTCTATTGGGATGAATTTTCTTAGTGAAAGCTGTAAGAAACAACTTCACCTGTGTAAATGGGACACGATAAATTTGTTTGCAAAGCCGTTTTGTATGTTGAATGTCATTATTCTAATAAATGAAACTTCAAATTTGCAACATTGGAGGGCTTAAAGTTGAGGGACCCTGGACATTCCAGCCCAATAGCTCATTTCTATGTTTTCTACTAATAATATTGTAGTAGTAATAGTTGTAGTAGGAGTAGTAGTAGTAGTAGTAGTAGTAGTAGTAGTAGCAGCAGCAGTAGTAGTTGCAGTTGTTGTTGTAGTAGTAAAAGTAGTAGTGTAGTAATAGTAGTAGTAGTAGTAGTAGTAGTAGTAGTAGTAGTAGTAGTAGTAGTAGTAGTAGTAGTAGAAGGGTAATGGTATTGATAGTAGTAGTTGTAGTAGAAGTAGTAGTAGTAGAAGTAGCAGTAGCAGCGTAATTTAATCTTAATTAGCCAGAAATAAATTAAAATAAAAACGCACATCACGTAAAATTTTATTGTTGACTCGAAAAATAAACAAAAAAATATATAATGGTAATATTAATAATTTTTAATTATTTAATTAATTAATAAATAAAATAGTTAATTAATAAATATTCTGTAGTACCATGTCATTTGCATATTTATATTAAATTATCAATTCAAGCGGAGAGAAGAAAAATTTTGTATTATCAATTTTTCAACCCTAATTACACTGGTAAATTAACTAACTAATAAATTAATTAACTAATATATAAACTAATTATTTTATTAACAAAACATAGGAGAAAAAATGTTAATGAGTGCAGGTGTGCAACAATTAGTTGTACATGTACAACCTCTAATTGTACAACGAGGTCTTTTCAAGAGAGGCGTTATACAAATTTTGATACTGATTACTACAATTAATTTATTTACCTAATTATTTACAATTTGTTATTTACAATTAAGTCATTATATTGTAAGTCTGAATAAGAGTAATAATTAAAAAAAGCCTGGAAAAAAACGAAGTAGAAAGGTCAAAGAAGTTCATCCACGACTAATCTAACCACCGACCTAACCTTTAATACCATCATCATTATCATCATCGGATGGCGATGATGATGATTATTATGAAGATGATAATCATGATGATGATTTCAAAGGAATGCATCAAAATCAGTAATTTTGTCATTATTTTGTTCTCATTTCTTCATTCATTCATTCGTTCGTTCATTCATTCATTCTTTCATTCATTCATTCGTTCGTTCATTCATTCATTCGTTCATTTATTCATTCATTCGTTCGTTCGTTCGTTTGTTAATTCAATCATTCATTCGTTCGTTCATTCGTTCATTCATTCAATCTCTTTTTAAAGCCATTTTTGTTCTTTCGTTCACTCTCACACATTCATTTCTTACATTGCCGGTGCAATCATCATATCCAAAGTTATCATCATCACCACCACCACCATCATCAACATCACTACCACCACTACCATCGTCGTCATCATCACCACCACAACCATCATCACCACCATCATCATCATCATCACACTAGATTCAGAAAAAGTCCTTTTAAGGTGTATATCAAAATGCTTGGTGTATGTCGATGGGAGAGTTCTAAATGTAATAATGATGATGATGATGGTGATGATGATGGCGATGATGATGATGATGATGATGATGTTAGTGTTGTTGCTGATGATGATGATTATGGTGATGATGATTATGACGATGGTGATTATGACGATGGTGATTATGACGATGGTGATAATAATGGTGTGACACCAAAAGATAGCCGACACCAACATCGCCACCGTCACATCCTACTACCCCTACCGCCACCACAGATTTCCGAACACACGCCGGAAGAGTGGAGGAAAGGAGTTGCCATTGACGTCATCAGCACTCCAGTACGGTTCATTGCATTTCATGTGCAAAATAATCAGACCATTAAACAGGCAAAAATTAATCAACCGTGAAATTATTTATTTATTTATTTATTTATCAATCCTTGCAGTCATCCATTCATTCATCCATCCATCCATCAATAAAAGAAAGTTGTAGCAGTTTTTGTGGACAAGGTGGGGGCGGAATTCGGAGGATTCCACATCGATTCGAAATCAGGCCTGCTGGACACCGACATCGAATCAAAATGGCGTTGTCTGCCGCTCACTTTGAATATTTTGAATGGTTGGTAGATCGGAAATTTGTCCCCGAGTTAGCTCAGTCGGTAGGAGTGCTGCTCGCGCTGCTATTACGCGGTGGCAGGGTTCGAATACTGCCTGTCCGAAACTCGAAGATCATCGTACGCGTGCATGCTTCTCAATGTGTATGTGCGTCCTGCTGCGCTGTGGATTGGAGGCGGGCATTGGGAGCGGGAATTGCGGGGTCCACGGGAATTGGTAGAACCTAATTTTCGGGAATGGGAATTTTAGGGAATCGGGCACGATGGACGAGAATGGGAAAAACAACACATGCATGCCCAAATTTGAAAAATTAGTTTAGATCAAAATGTCAGTTATCTATGCAACTCAATAAGTGTGGTTTTAATTGTAGTAATTGTAATTTATCTTTGTTGTTTTAGTACTTTTTAGAGCATTTGGATTTTTATTTTGTTTGGTACTAGACAGGTTCTTGATATTTGCTTTTGTTTTTTAATCTGTTTTTGGTGTTCAAAATTTGAAAAATTGGAAAAAGGGGAATGAAAGGGAAAACGCGAAAATTAATTAAAAAATGGGAATTTTCGGGAACGTTGTCATGAATGAGAATTCGGGTGGGAATCGGAAATGACGAACAAATATGGGAGGGAATTTGGAACAAATTTCAATTCTCGTCATCTCTAAAAACAGCAACAAGAACGATGACACTTTCAAGCAAGGAAAGTTAAGCTATAAGGATAGGATAAATCAATCAATCAAACAATTAGCTTATAAAGCGTTATTTCCGTGATATTCAACAGCGCTCCTCAATGAATTTTTTAAACAGATTGGTCTTAAGATACGCTCTAAACTTCATAAATGATGGAGTAGTCAGAGAAGTAGGTAGCGAGTTCCAGAGAAAAGGGCCAGAAAAAACAAGAAGACGATCGTAAACCGGGGCGTTTATGTTTAATTAATTTATCTGATGAGTACTTAGGAAATAATTTAAATTGACACTTATACATAAATGTGCAAATTTTAAAAATTAATCTTTATTTTATAGATAGCCAGTGCAAGAAAACAAGGCATGGAGATATATGAAAAAAGAAAGGGGCTCGAGCAACTAGACGAGCAAGACGAGCAGCAGAGTTGAAACCTTTACTTAAAGGATAGAGTGTAGAATCAGGAAGACCATAATAGAGCGAGTTACAATAATCAATCCTAGATAAGGCTAACGAAGTAACAAGAAGGAATAGAGAAGGATCATCAAGAAAAGGCAAACATTTTTTTATTATACGTAGATGAAAGTAAGAACTTCTAGCAACACTATTAATCTGAGAAGAAAGAGACATACTAGAATCAAAGATAAAGCCTAGACTACGAAACTTATGAGAAACATCAAGAGTTTTAGAATCAGTAAAGATAATAGGAGGTCTAATAATAGAGTGTTTAGATTTATTGAAACCAATTAATTCAAATTTAGAAGGATTAAGTTTAAAACATATAGAGTCAGATCAAGCGAATCAAGCGATAATTGAAGTAAGACATAAGAGTAGATTATGAAGAACACTATTGAGATCAGATGGAGGAAAAGAAGTATAAATGTAAGAATCTTCAGCATATAGTTGACTGGTAAAATGTAAGCATGTTTGACAGAGAATCAATCAATCAATTATAAGAGATGAAATAAAAAAAATATCACCATGTCAACTACCTTTCGTTTTCATGCTCATACTTATTGTTGTAAAATTTTTTAGGTTCCTTATAATACAGCAGCTTACATAACCTTTCCTGCTTACTCCAGTTAGACCTTAACACATGCATTAGCACGCAACAACCGCCAAAACGCAACCCACATGCACGTTTTTAAAAAAATGCTAGTATTATTAATAGCGGAAATATTTGTGGATTAACATTAATGGATTATTATTATTACAACCAACTTTACACAATAATTTTAACAGAAAAACAGCAACAACGACGACGATAATACTTTATTATATCAATATTAACAATCAGTAAGAATAAATCATAAATAAGAATAAATTTTTTGAAAAACAAATAATTTTTTACAATAATTAGAAAGGCCGCAATGGTTCGAAGTCGATATTAACGATGACTACTGGAGCATTCCATTCGAAACCGAAATCAGTAAGTAGAGATAGGCTAATCAATTAATTATTTAATTAATTGATTAGTTGGTTGATAGATTGATTGATCCATCGATTGATCGATCAATTAATTGATTGATTACTTGTTGTTTGATTGGTTGATGTATTAATTGATTGATTGAATAAATTACTGTATAATTAATTATGCTTCTATATTAATTATTTCAAATCATTTAAACTATTTATTTATTAAAGTATTATATTAATTTTAAAATTAGAAATGTGAGCAAATATAATTGTTTTAACAATTCATTTTTTTCATAAACCAATCAATCAATCAATCAACCAACCAATCAATTAATCAATCAATTAATCATTCATTCAATCAACCAATCAATCATTCAACCAAACAATCAATCAATCGATCGATTGATCAATCAATCATTTATTCAATCATTCAACCAAACAATCAACTACCCAAGCATTCAACTGCGACTACGAGTTGTCCAACGCTCAATGTCCTCCCCACGAAACCCAGCACTTAAGGGAAGGCATGGAATATTCAGCAAGAAAAGTAAGAAACTTGAAAACTCTTGGGCCACAACATAACAAAAGGAAATCCAACAAAAAACCGGAATTACATTTCTTGAGATCGCCTCGCAAAAAGTTTCTGACAAAATCCAGTACACATTTTAAGCGGGTTTCGACCAAAAATATGGAAACAATTACAAATAAAAGTAACCAAACTATCGACAGGGCCGACGAGGAACATAAGCGTCATCACAAAAATGACAAAACTGCCCGAAAATTTCTGAATGATAAACAAGTTATTTCCAAGTATGGTGAATCATTTAACTCGAAAAATCGCACAAGTAACTTCAGAATTCCTAAGTGGAAAATCATCCAAACCAATCTAGGCAATATTTTTAAAAATAATTTGATTAAAATAGTAAAAAAATTGAAAAGAAAAGTACGAGGGAGAAGATGGACGCAAGAGAGGGAGCCTTCGAAGTGGTTGTGGCACGAAGATAAACAGAAACCATCTAGCGAACCCAAGACGATGATCTGCCGATTCAACAGTTCAGTTCATTGATTGATTGGAACTTTTGGAATGCTTGTTTGTTGATTGATAATAATTTTTGAAATGACTAGAAAAGTAATAAAAGTTTGATGGTAGATTGATTTGGAAAATCGTTTAAAAACCATTCATTGAGACTTTTTATTAATTTTTATCCATCATTAAAAAAAAACGATATTTCACTTATTCAACATATAAATCATCCAATCAACCGAACGCCATCCACTCATCCATCCAACCGCTATCCATCTATTCATACATCCAACCGCTATCCATCTATTCATCCATCCAACCGCTATCCATCTTTCTATCCATCCAACCGCTAACCATCCATCCATCCAACGCCATCTATCCATCCATCCAACGCTATCCATCAATCCAACCGCCATCTATCTATCCACCCAGACATACCATTCTTCACAATGCGTCGCGCCCTGATAACTCTGGGAATATTTGCAGTGGTGTTCACGCTCTACCTCCTCGTCTGCTGCCTACACCGACGATACCATCGTAAGACTTTCCACTGACTAACTTTTCAATTTTACAAAAAAAAACTGGGTTTAATTGTATAGCATAATAATAGAGAGTCTGTCTCCTATGTGGCATTGACAGGGTTCGAAGGCACAAAGATTCTTCTTTGTTCGTGAGCTTGTATGATGCACGCGTGGCCGAACAAATCTCCCAAAGCAACAATAAAAAGCTGTAACAGTAAAAAATCGAAAACGATAAATTATTACAATGTATTATAAACCTTAACCGACTCAAAATCAACCGATCCAAACCAAACAACCGCCAAACAAACATACTGAATACAGTGGGCAGACGGCTCTATCACGAATCAACAACCGAGCAGATGAAGAGATCAGATGGGTTTGATGTGTATCAGTCGAAGGGCAGCAAACGTCACCAGCTGCTGAGGAGGCAGCTTGGAATGTCGAAGTCCGAGATGTCCAAGCGAAAAAAGTTCGTTTGTAGTGCGTTGTTTGTTGTCGTTTTATCAAGTGGTTGGTTTGGTGAAGTGGTTGGGGTCAGTTGAAAAATTGATTGGCTGATATTCTAGTTGATTGGTTGGTAGGATTTGCTGTTATTGTCAACATTTTTAGTTTGTTGCATCACAACGAACGTTAAATGATGAACAAATTAAATTAAAAAAATTCAAATATATATTTAGCTCATTAAAACATGAAAGCCCAAATGTATGCATTCAATCACATATCGACGGTATTGGATCACTGGGCAAATGAATCCATTATCTTAAAATAACAACAACAGCAAACCTGATCAGACGCCTAAACAAAGTTCCAAGAATTTTCGAACGAAGCAGTTCGAAGAGGCGACACCTCAGCAGAAACAAATAGAACTAACTGAACTAACGAAAGAAACAAACTCAGCCCAGCAACTACCACCTTCATCCCAGCAAGAATTTGAACCGCCACCAACAAAACATGAGTCGCAAGCACAACAATCACAACGACCTCAACAGCAGCCAGAAGAATGGCAAAAAAGCAAATCAATTCTACAAAATCAAAAGCAGGATAAAAAAGAGGATCATTCCAAGGCGCAACTCGATCGACACTCAAGCTTTTACCGAATCAGAGAAAAATTTGCGAAAGACAAAAAGAAACAAGTGGCTTCCCAAAAAAATTCACCAACGAATCCTCATCCCTCTCTCAGATCTTCCATTTCAGAACACAACGGCTTCTTCATCGCCAAAGACTCCCAGTCCCAAGCCTCTTTCTACAGTAGTACATCAGAACTATCAGGGATAAGCCAACCAACAAAAAAGCAAAAACGGATCCCCTTCGGGTTCTCCAATCTTTTCAGAAGCTCAAAATTGAAAGCCAAAAATTCGAAAATTATTAGAGATGACCTGGGACAGTCAGTATCACTAACGGTCAATCCGTCAACTAGACTGACCCAATCACCAACGAGGGATGTTCAACATTCCGAAAGTCAAAATAAATTACACGCGAAACCAGTCTAACTTATCCAGTCAAATCTCATAATCATTAACATCATCATCATCCGTCATTATCGTTATCACACCGATATTATCATCATTTCCACTTCTGAAACAACCATAATTATCATCGATTAAAATATCATCCCAACTGACCAAATGTATCTGACCTTCATCACTCCGTAGCAAATACTTCAACCACAATAAATGAGTGGTGTAGACTGAAATTTTTTGTGAAGGAGTGGAATTTTTTTTAAATTTTGAATATTTTTTTTTGTTTTTTTTTCACGTTTTTAAAAGTGTTTTTTGTACATTTTTCTTAAAATTTTACCGTTGTGGTCTAAAACTGAAACAATTTTTAATCAAAATTCATATAGAAAACGCTAAATATAAAGCCCACCCAGCTTGGATACACCTCTGCACCCGATATGTTAGCACAGCACGGGCGCAGAACTCTAAACAAGTGGCAGCATTTGAGTGAACGTATTAGGTGTAAATAAAAAATTTATTAAAAAAAAAGTTTTGCGAATTTCACATCATCCATCAACGTCGCAAGGAGCTCATCATTTCAACCATCACCACCATTATTATTATTACTGTAATAATTACCAGCATATCATCACAATTATAATCATCATCAACATCATCATCACCATTACCATCACCAACATTACCACTATTAATGTTAACTCGCCTACCTGTCTGTATCTGTATACTAGCAACATCGTCATTAACGTATAAATATACAACATGGTCGTTGTTAACGATAAAAATGGCAACATATTAACATAAAAGCGTATAAAAGATAAAGAGATAACAAAACGTCAGTGTGAAATTAGAATGAGGAATTAAATTTTCATTTAAATACAAAAAAATTAAACTTAATCACATTGGAAAAATCATTCTATCACAATCCGAGCATTAAGACATTCACTCACTCACTTATCAGCTTACTCACTAATCATTCACTCACTCACTCATTCATTCATTTCGTTTATTTGATACCATCCAATCAATCTGCAACATTTTAAAAGTCTTTTTGTCCTAATCATAACCCATTATGACCACAACCGTTATAATCTGCCATAATAAAATTATAATAATAATTATTAATATCATTCAAATGCAATTTCTTTTATAAACGCTGTAATTCATTTGTTACGAATCAATTCACTATAAATTATTACAGATATACGTAGTATTAATGTTATTATTAATATTGTCATCATTATCATCACCGTCAGAAAATCTGCCGTATGTATTTTGAATCAAACAAACAAACTTAATTACACGAGGTTAAGAACATTTTGAAATACACATCTCTCTCTCTCTCTCTTTCGTAGTTTTTTCGTACATAATTTATTACTCTGATGAAAATTATGTGGGAAGAAAGTAAGACATTTGTAAATTGTTTATAAAGATCAATCAATTCATCGATCGATCAATCAATCAACCAATCAACCATCCAACCAACCAATCAATCGTAATTATGTGACATGGGTGCGTCATCCCACTGAGCCGAGCTGGTCCTGTGCTTAAATCGAGGTCGGTTGGTGCTGAAGACATCGTAGAGGTTGAGGCTGAACTGGAGGTCAAATATGAGGTCAAGGTTGGGCGGGTTCAGGTGCTGCTCGTATATGCTCTCCTTCAGCAGGTTCTCTGTTCATACGTTTGTTTGTCGGTTGGTTCGTTTGTTTGTTCATTTGTTTGTTTATTCATTTGTTTGTTTGTTCATTTGTTTGTTTGTTAGTTGCAACACACGTGTGTGTGTGTGTGTGTGAGTCAAGTTAGTTTTTAATTGATTAATATTTTTAAATACATTGTATATTATTATAATTAATTTATTATTAACAATCAAACAATAAATCAATCAATCAACCAACACAATCAATCAAAAAATCAAACAACCAATCAAACGATCAATCAAACAATAAACAAGCCCGTCAACCAATCACCGACCAGCAATCAGCCCACCAACCAATCACCGACCTCTAGCCCAGTTAGGGACGGCCTTCCTGGGCGCACACTCATCGTCCGTCTTGTCTTTGTACTTGATGTTGTCGATGTTGTAGTTGGTGTATTCGTAGGGGCGTTTGTTACTGTTGTTGTTGTTCGTTACTGACGTTGTTGTTGTTGTCGTGTATCTATTTTCATTGCTGTTTTGTTGTTGTTGCTGCTGTGATGGATGTTTGTGTAGGTGCTTCTTCCAGTTACTTGCTAGGCTCCTATTCATTATGGTGATGAAGAAAATTATGATGAAGAAGATGATGATGAAGTTGATGATGATGAAGATGATGAAGTTGATGAAGAAGTTGATGAAGATGATGATGAAGATGGTGAAGTTGATGAGAATGATGAAATTTAAGTAATAACGACGATAAACCATGACTAATGATGAAATCCAAATTACTGTTAATCACGTTGAAATCAATGGTAAGATGATAACATTTATCATTTTAATTATCGTAAAGACATCACATTAATAACAAACAATTAAAGCCTAGGCAAAAATATGAAAAGTAAAAAGAATAATAATACAAACAACAAAAATAATAATAATTATTATTATCATTATTAGATAACAATAAAACACCCAACCCAGTTTTTTCTTCTGCCTTTTTAAATTTTCCTTCATAGTTATAACTCATGGTGCTGTTATTGCTATTATTATTATTATTATTATTATTGTTGTTGTTGTTTGATTGCATGTTTTTCATATTGTGCTGCATAACGTTTCTGTCAACTTCAAATGTCGTCATCATCTTCTTCGCCATCATCGCCGTTGATGCTGCTGCTGCAGAGGCTGCTTCTAACGCTGCTTGCTTTTGCGCTTGTGCCAAAGCCTGCATCATTGTTGTAGTCGTTGTTTTGTGTTTGTAATCCTATTTAATTTCAAATATATTTGCCTGTCTGATTTATTCTAAAATTAGTTTATCAAATTGATAATTTTAATTTAAAAGTTTAATTGAATTTACAGAGCTAATGGTACTCATTAGTTAATTAATAGTGTCATACAAGTCTTAAGTAGGAAAACTTATCGACATCGTCATTTCTTATCTATGGTCCCCAAAACCAGAGAAATCAAACTGATTGAAAGATCATGAAATGAAAGTCAATTTAGAAAATCTTAATTGAAAACGTGCGAGGTGTTGAAAAAAATATTTCCATGAGAAACATTCGTTAACACGGTTGCAGACAGTTGTGATTTGATTCCATGTGGTCTGTTGGGATGAGGAGCTGAACTGAACAGCGAGACAAAAAGTTGCATGGCCGTGACAAAAAGTTACATATTTATATACATATTTATTGGTTTTTTTAATTTTATTTATCTGAAATCGGTTTTAATTCATCTATTACTCTATTCTATCTAAATCAACTAATCAACCAACCACCACACCGAACATTTGCACCACCACAGCCACCCACCACCAACCTCCTTGGCAGCCCTCTCTTCCATCAACCTCTTCCTCTCCAGCTTCTCCATCCTCTCGGCTTCTTCCCTCTTTTTTTGCTCCGCCAACTTTCTCGCTTCCAATTCTCTCCGCTTTCTCTCTTCTTCCAACTGATCGATTGAACGATTTAATTGATCGATCGATCGATTGATTGATTTTATTCCAATGTTGGTAGATTTAATTATGAATTATGAACAATTGACAGAATGAATAAATGAATAAAAAAACGAATGAAAAATTGATTGACCAGTTCAAATGAATGAATTTGACCGGTTGCTTCATGCGCCTTCACAAGCAATTCTTGCTTGATGAACTAACTGACTGCGTAATTCTATCATAACAAAGTAATCGATAATACCAAAAAACTTTCCCAACAATAGCCAGACCAACACAGGCACAATAATTGAAGTCACTGCCATCAGGCCTTTTCAGTTATATACCTGCTGGATCTCTTTCCACATAACTCTTCGCGTGGATCTAAAAAAAACTACGCCTGTTCTCTTTTCTTTTCTCTCTTTCTCTCTCTCTCTCCTCCAACAAATCAATAAAAAGAATAGATACCATAATATTTTCAAATCTTGTCCTGTATATTCCGAGTCCAAACATCTGTTTGAATGAAGAAGACTCCAGGTCCGAAAGATATAAAATGAGGTATTTAGGTATTTAGATAGCCAAGAAGATCCAACAAATCCATCGTTTTCATTCCGTCATCACGACACTCAATCCACTAGATAACTTCTTCATCTCGTGTTCTATTCATATCTACAGCGCTTTTTGCTGTTTTCCCAAACAGGTAGATTTATTTTGCAAGACTAAATCATTCAATTCATATAAAAGAATGAAGTTAATAATTTTAGCTGACCGTAAATATTTTTTAACAAATTATAATTGAAAAAATGATTCAAAATTGTTTTAGCGCCAGTTAGTCAGTATTGCAAATCTTTGTTAGTAATCTATAAAATAACCAGCCACCACACAAACATTTGCACCACCACAACCAGCACACCCCCACACAAACCTCCCTAGCAGCCCTCTCCTCCATCATCCTCTTCTTATCCAGCTTCTCCAACCTCTCGGCTTCTTCCTTCCTCTTCTGTTCAGCCAACTTTCTCGCTTCCAATTCTTTCTGTTTCCTCTCTTCTTCCAGCTGGCCAATTGAATGATTTATTTAATCGATTAATTAATTAATTGATAGATAGATAGATGGATAGATGGATAGATGGATAGATAGATAGATAGATAGATAGATAGATAGATAGATAGATAGATAGATAGATAGATAGATAGATAGATAGATAGATAGATAGATAGATAGATAGAGTAATTGATTGAATGAATGAATGATGAACAAATTGATTGAAACAAATGTTTGCATGGTTTATAATCCGCCGGAGTTGAATAAATAGAAGGCTGTTGCACCAACCATTAACCAAATAACTTTGTGAAACATAGAAGACAAAATGAAATATAATTATGACTAATATAAAAAAAGATGAATTAATAAATGATAATAATTAATAATAGATAATAATAATTAATAAGCTAATGATAAACGCGCCATCTTTAAAGAAATCAATCTAAACCAATCAGGTCAAATGAGGTCAAGCAAACCTTTTCAAGTCTCTTCTGATTGGTTAGTTCGGCCTCCAATCGCATTTGTTCTTCCTGCTGTCTTCGGCGTTCTTCCACTTTTCTCTGTTTCTCTTCACGTTTTCTGTGAACGGTTCAAACAATAATAATAATAATAACAAATGAAGTTTGGAATAGATAAATGTGCCACCATAGAAATAAGGAAAGGGACAGTGATGCTAAATGATGGTGTGATGTTGGTCCTGAAACTCATATCAGAGGTGTTGATGCAGAGGAGACGTACAGTAGGGTGTCCCGAAAAAATTTTTTTTAGAATTTCGCAATACAAGACCTCTTGAAAGTTGCCAATTTGATCATAAATTACGAAAATAATCATACAAATTAAATTAAATTGCATCTTCAGGGTTCTACCAAATTTTAAAATTTTGAAAAATGTCATTTTTTGTGTTAATATTTTGTGCCGCTTAACGTCGAATCCGAATCATAATTAAAATGTTATATATGTTCTTTGTTTTGTTTACATGTGATAACTTCACTTCACATTGTTTTAATTTGTATGCATTAGCGTTTTCCTGGTTGTTTTAAATTTTTCTAGTTTGAGTTAGCAAATTCACTAAAATTTCAGTTTCTGAAGACGTGATTTTAATTGTAAGCGAATTCTATTAAACTAATCTTATTATTTTGCTATAAAATTTTAAAATTACAAATGTTTTATTTTCATCTTTCAGAAAATGAGTTCAATGCGTAGCGATACCATATGTGATATATTAGGTCCATATGATGAACTTAACGAACGGCAGCTACCAACCATAGGGGATGTCATCAAATTTATTTTATTTGTTAAGAATGACCTGAAACTAAAATGTAATGGCAAGGATCTATCTAAAAAAATTCAAAATATCTGGATAAAAGCTTCCATTCCAATCGTATCTAATGATCGAGTTTTACAACTCTTAAAATCTTATTTTGAAAAATATCTCACTTTGAAAAGATATCCCAAGAGCAAAAGACATGATAGTTTTGAGAAAAAACTGAAATGTTTTTCAGATTTATCAAAGAGGCTTTTTGATGTGGCTTCATGTAAATGTGTCTTATTTGAAGCATGTGTATGTTTGAAAAATAAAAAAGTTCCTGTTAACGAAAGACAATTTTTGATCGATCAAAGAAATGAGAGAAAAATGGCTATAGGTGGCATCGATAAACAAGAAACGGTCAGATTGAGGAAACGACAGGCAAGACAATTTGAACGTTCAATGAAAGGAGTCAAAAAGTTTTGCTCAACACAAGGTTCTAATATTGTTTCAACAGCTTTGGAGGAAGACGAGACGCATATCAATTTTTCCAAAACCAACCTGGCAACAGAAACACTTCTGACAAACCTGTCATTTACAAATACACCAACAACATCATTCGCTAATCGAAATTTACTGCAGTTACCAACATTGGCAAAAGTTTGTGATAGATATCGATTGTCTACACGATCTGCTGCTGCTGTTGCTTCTGCCGTTTTAGTTGACGTAGGTCTGGTTTCAAATGAAGACTCAACTCTAGTGACAGACAAAAATAAAGTACACAAGCTGTATCAAAGGCCAGAAAAATATATTTTAAAATATTAGCGAAGTTTCACTAAACAGCATTTATTTTGATGGTCGAAAAGACAAAACGTTGGTGAATAAAAAAATAGGAGTCCGTTACCATCGCAAAGTGGTTTTAGAAGAACATATTTCAATTTTATCAGAACTTAATTCTATTTTTTTGGGACACACATCGCCATGTCGTGGAACCGCAAAAGAAATCTTTACTTCAATCATAACTTTATTAAAAAATCGAAATTACAATTTAAATGACGTAATTTGCGTTGGATGTGATGGAACTGCAACTAATACCGGGTGGAAAGGTGGTGTAATTAAATACCTTGAAGAGTATTTGGATAGACCTTTACAATGGTGTGTTTGTATGCTTCATGCTAATGAGCTACCTTTTCGTCATTTATTCTTGGCTTTAGATGGCTGCACTTCAGGTCCTAGAGAATATCCAGAGCCTATTGAAAAACAATTAGCTACTTGCGAAAATAAAACTACGTTGCTTTTTCAACCACTGACCGGTCATTTGCCTGATTTAACGAAAAATGTAGTTAATGAACTGAGTATAGATCAAAAATATCTCTATGAAATATGTCAAGCAGTATTAACTGGTTCCTGTAGTCCTGAGCTCGCAAACCGTCAACCTGGAAATCTATCTCATTCAAGATGGCTTACTTGTGCCAACCGTTTACTTAGACTATATGTAAGTACTCCTGATCCATCAGAAAGTTTGCAAATACTTGTCGAATATGTAGTTAAAGTATATGCTCCTATTTGGTTTTCAATTAAACAAAAAACATCTTTTAAAGATGGAGCTAAGCATATTTTTAATTTAATTTTATTTTCTCGATATTTACCAACAAATCTAAGAACAATTGTAATTGAGAGAAATGCTTTTTATGCACATCCAGAAAACCTTCTTGTTAGTATGTTATTTGACGACAGAGACTATATTCGGGAACTAGCATGTCGAAGAATAATAAAAGCTAGAAATACTGACAATGGTTTCAAACAGAAAATATTTAAAACACCGAAGCTTAACTTCTCTGCTAAAGATTATACTGAAATTATTTCGTGGCAGGAGTGTCAAGTTACAGTAACACCTGTGCTTCGGGATGTTACTAATGACGAACTCAAAAAGATGGCAAAAGATGGAAGCCTTAAAATTGTTGATTTTCCTTGCCACACACAATCAGTAGAGAGATGTGTTAAACTGGTAACAGAAGCATCACAGAGTGTGACTAATGTTAATTCGAGAGATGGTTTCGTAAGAACCACGTTACAAAGTCGAGCTGAATTTCCAATTTTCGGACATAAAAATATATTCAAATTTTAAATATATTTTATACTTTTAAACCGTCTGTTGTTTAATCTTGTTTAACCCTAGAACTACCAGCTGGGTCCATTGGACCCATCCTCGATGTTTGATGTGATGTAGATAGACAAAAAAATTTGTAAAAATTTCCAAAAATTCTGACTTTTTCTAAATACTTATTGTCAAAAAAAAATGCAAATTTATAAATTTTTTGGCATTAGTAATTACGCTATAAAAATTCAAGCACCACTTACCGACAGGGTCTGTTGGACCCACATTCATTTTTAAAAAGTATTTATTATTTAGATTCACTTTTATTGTTGTTTCCATAGTAGTAGCCATTTAATAAATATACTTTTATTTGAATTAATTGTGTTTTTGTTCCTTATAATGTCAAAATCAAAGATTTCTCTAAGTAAAGCTTGCGAAATGATTTTAGAAGAAAGTGAGGAAGATGATTGCGAAGATTATGTTGCATCAGATGATGATAATGAAATCGATTGTGTTGAAGAAAACGAAGTTAGTAATAGTGAAAGCGAAAATGACATAAAATCTGATTTGATGGCTAATACTATTACGCATGAGGAAACGTATTTATCAAAAAATAAAGAAATTGTGTGGCATAGTACACCAGAAACAAATACACAAGGTCGTGCCAAAAGTTTCAATATTGTAAAAGAAAGTCCAGGATTCAGCAATTATGCAAAAAATAACGTTGATTCAATATCTTCTTCTTTTTTGATTTATTTCAGATCTAGTTTGTTGGAACAAATATGTCATTTCACAAATCAAGAAGGACAACTGGTGTTGAAAGATGGTTATAAGAAGTTATGTGTCAATAAACTAAAAAAGTTTATTGTAGTTCTCATATTAGTTGGTGTATATAAATCTAAGAATGAACCAGTTAGTCAATTATGGAGCGGAAGTGATGGCAGACCTTTATTCAATAAAATAATATCAAGAACCAGATTTCATGAAATTTTAAGAGTTCTGAGATTTGATGATGCTGCATCACGCAGAAAACATAGATCACCAGACAAATTAGAGCCAATAAGAGATTTATTTGAATCATGGAATTCTACTTTAAAAGATCCTTACAAGTTGAGTCATACAGTAACTATTGATGAACAGTTGGTCACCTTTAGAGGGAGATGTCCCTTTCGTCAATATATTCCTTCCAAGCCAGGTAAATATGGCATTAAATTTTGGGCATTGTGCGATAGTAGCTCAAATTATGTTTGGAATTTGGAAATTTATAAGGGGAAAGAAAAAGATAACCCAAGGGAAAAAATCAAGCTGAAAGAGTGGTCCTAACTCTGATAAGGGGATTGGAAAATTCTGGCAGAAACATTACGTGTGACAATTTTTTTACGAGCATTGGTTTGGCAGAAAAGTTATTCAAGAAAAATCTGACAATTGTAGGAACAATTAGAAAAAATCGTCCGGAATTGCCAGATAAATTTATTTCTCCAAAAGGTAGAGATTTATATTCATCATTGTTTGGATTCAAGGACAATTTCACTATTGTTTCTTATATGGCAAAGAAAAATAAAACTGTCACATTGTTGAGTACAATGCATCACCAACCAGAATATGATAAAAATAATAAAAAAAAGAAACCAGAAATAGTTCTTTATTATAACAAAACCAAAGCTGGAGTTGATACAATGGATCAGATGACAAGAGGGTATAGCACTAAACGGATGACAAGACAATGGCCACTTGTTGTGTTTTATAACATGATAGATATAAGTGGATTAAACGCTTATATCATATGGAAATCAATGCAATCTGAAAAAAGTATCAAAAGAAGGCAGTTTTTGATTGATTTGGGCAAAGAACTAACGCTTTCAGAGGCGCCACTGCAACCTACAGCAATTTTGAATATAGATGAACCAGCGAGAAAAAAACGATGTGTGTTGTGTAGTTATATAAAAGACAGAAAAACTAAATCATTATGTGCAAGATGCAAAAAAAACATTTGTTGTGAGCATTCCGTTGTAATTTGTAACAACTGCAACATTTAATCTATGATTTTTAAGTGACTACATTGTTTATCAAACATTTATTTTATAACTGTTCAGAAAAATTTCTTGTTTTTGTATATTTTGCTTATTTGGAGATTGCTATATTTAGAAACACAACATAAAAATGAGTCAAAATTAAATTTTAGTTTAAATTAATGACATGTCGATATGTGGGTCCAACGGACCCACATTGGTAATCAGCGCTATAAAAAAAATATTGGTAAACGCAGGGTTAAATGTGTTTTGTTTTATAAATAGTATTAAAAAATCTATTATAAATGCGAGTTTTTTTTGTTTTTTTATGCAAACGATTCAAGTAATTGAAAACATTAAATTTTCAAAACTTTAAAGCGTGGTAGAACCCTCAAGAAGACATATAATTTTTATTGTTTTATTATTTTTAAAATCTGCATAAAATTTCGCAACTTTTGATACCTCTTGTTATAATGTGTCTTAAAAAAATTTTTTTTTCATACATCGACGGGACACCCTAACGTACAGATACCTGGGAATGGAAGAGGTGGGAGGAATTCAACAGCAAATGATGAAGGAGGAGATAAGCAAAAGAGTACAACAATAGAATAAGATCCATATTAAAGACCCAGTTGAATGCCAAAAATAAAGTGATAACCATTAACAGCCTAGCAATCCCGGTTATGATTTACAGCTATGGTATTCTTGAATGGCGGAGATCCGAACTGCAGGCGATAGATAGAAAAACAAGAAAATTACTCACAATGGGAGGAGCACACCACCCTAATGCAGATGTCGACCGGCTATATATTAGCAGGAAAGATGGTGGAAGAGGCCTTATTGGAATTGAAGATTCATTTGAAAAATGCCTGATAGATCTCAACTTTTATATTCAAGCAAAACAAAATAAACATGTTGAAATAATTGCAAAAGCTGATGAAAATAAAAAGAAATATTCAATTTCAAAGGAAGTGGAAAAAATAAAACGTCTGTACTCCATTCATGAAGAAATTAACAAGAAAGATTTTAAAAAACTACAAGAAAAATGTAAATCACTCCACGGTCAATTTATCAACAGTATAGATAAAAAAAGGAATTGATTTAACATACACATGGAAATGGTTACAAAGTTCAGGTCTCAAAATAGAAACGGAGAGTCTTCTGATTGCAGCACAAGAGCAGGCTTTAAGCAAAAAGTATTTTCAGAAAAAAATTTTAAAGCAAAAAGTGGATGATTTATGCACGATGTGTCACAGACAAGTTGAAAGCATCAGCCATGTGATATCAGGATGCACAGTAATGGCACCAACAGAATACACTAAAAGACACAACAAGGTTGCAAGCTATCTTCACTGGATGATGTGCAGAAATTTTGAACTGGAAACAACTGCAGAAAACTGCAAGCACGACAACAGAAAGTTAAAACTATGACAATGGAAAAATTCTATGGGACACCCCAATAATAACTGACAGAACTATTCATGCAAACAGAGATCATTACTATTAACTGAAATAAATTTAAATTCATCATTCAAAGAGTACATAATAGTTAAACTATGTGTTTCTAATAGAGTTTTAAATATTCTCTTTGTTTATAGAAGTCCAAACTCTAATGTTGGAAATAATGATCTTTTGCTGAAGTTGATAAATGATGTGCTGGCATTACCTGGGACACGTCCAGTTTTGAAGGTAATGATGAGAGGGTTGAAAACAGATTTTTGGATCTTCTTAAAGATAAATTTTTAATACAACACATCAATCATCCAACGAGATTTAGAGATGGTCATGATTTCACTAAGCTGTATATATCGATATAGCGATGTACTGTATCCAAGCTGAGATGCATATATCAACCGTATTAAATTTTTCTTTTTCACAACAAATGAACAAGTCAATTGCAAATACACTAATAAAAACCACAAATGATCGCAGCTTAAACAATTTTGCATAGCAAGATAACATGCACGCCACACAAAAAAACACATATAGAGGCACAAATATGTAAGAACACAACAATTAAAACAAAACAACATTTTTAACACACATCCCAGCATACACACACACATACCAACACCAACACATACATAACACTAACACATGAACTAACACTGCAACTAAATCAATTTAACACCGAGTAAATAACATCTAAACTACGAAAATTAACAAGCAAACGAAGAGTTAAATTGAGACAACACTTCTTCACACGCCACACGCCGATGAATCATTGAAAATTGCTGTTGAATCAGTAACGAATGGCATGCCACTAAAAACGGCTGTCAAAAAATATGGGGTCCCTGCAAGAACTTTAAAAAGGCATCAGATGGCCATGACCAAATTTCCTGGAAAAATTAGGCTGGGACATTTTCACTCAATTTTTACAAAGGACCAAGAACTAGAACTAGTAGAAATTATTAAAAGTATGGAAAAATCACTCTTCGGAATGACCACAACAGACGTCAGGAAAGTGGCTTTTGAATTTGCCGAAAAAATGAAATTAAGCCATCCATTCAAGGTTGAAATGAAAATGGCAGGGATAGACTGGATGTATGGTTTTTTAAAAAGACATCCAACGCTATCTATTAGAAAGCCGGAAGCGATAAATTTATCACGGTTAGTTGGCTTCAATAAAGAGCAGGTAAAAATATTTTTCGACATATATCTTGAAACTCTCAACAATGGAAATTACAATGCTATGAAAATATGGAATGTGGACGAAACTGGAATCTCAACTGTTCAGAAACCAGTGAAAATTGTTGGCAGCAAAGGTTCCAGACAAATAGGAAAAATTACAAGCGGGGAACGTGGACATACAGTAACTGTTTTATGTTCTATGAACGCTGCCGGAATATTTATTCCACCTATGTTTATCTTTCCAAGAAAAAGAATGGTGGATTCTTTAATGAATGACAGTCCACCACAATCAATTGGGACATGCACTCCGAGTGGTTGGTCCGATAGTGAGTGCTTTATGAAATGGTTACGACATTTTATTTCTATTGTTAAACCATCAGTGAACGACAAGCATTTAATACTTTTAGATGGTCATCATAGTCATAAGACATTGGAGTCAGTGATGTTTGCCCAGGAAAATGGCATCGAAATGTTAACTTTTCCTCCCCATTGCACACACAAGTTGCAACCACTTGATAAAACCTTTTTCAAAAGTTTGAAATCATTTTATAACTCATCAGCTGATTCCTGGATGATGACAAACAAAGGCCGTAGAATAACATTCTATGAAATTGCAACAATTTTCAAAACAGCTTATTTCAAAAGTGTTACCATTGACAAAGCAGTAAATGGTTTTGCTTCTACAGGTCTTTGGCCACCGAATATGAACGTATTTTCAGATGAAGATTTTCATCCTTCGAATTTGACAGATGAACCGTTACCATCATCTGCTTTAGATTTGAATTTACATTCAAATTCATTGATTGAAACCATTGAATCAGTGGTTGAAGATGACCCAAACCAATCAATTTCTTCAAAAAGCCTTTTGGAGTCAATTGTTGGACCAATAAAATCATCAACGCCACGAGGTAGAAAAAGAAAATCTGAAAGAGCTACCTTGCTAACGTCCTCACCAAACAAAAAATTGCTACAAGAAAAAGATGATCAAAATTGTAAAAAGATAAAGCGTTCTAAAGATTTATTAGATATAAAAAGTAAAACGGTGAAACGAACCAAAGATACAACTCCATGTGGGACTTGCACACAAATTTTTTGTAAAGATGTAACTGGGCGTCAGTGGATCAAATGCCAAAAATGTGGCATTTGGCATCATAATGGTTGCCAAGGACTAGAAGAGGATTATAATGACATTTTTATTTGTATTGAGTGTGATGATTAAAATTACAAACAAAACATTAAAATTTTAATAAATTTTATTTTGTCATTTCATTAAAAATAATAAAGCATTTTTTTTCATGCATTTTGTTTCTATTAAAGCTATAACCATTGTAATCACAGCTTGTTTTGTTAATTTCTTAATTTGGGCCTTTTGCCCCAGGTATGGGGCAAGAAGCTCTTTTGATAGACCTCTATAGTTTTCCTCATAAAACACAGAAAGTGTATTTTTGAATAATTTAAATTGTAGAATTAGGTAGTGGACATACCAATCTAGCTAAGGCAACATTAAACTTTAAAAAATGTTCGAGTTGTTGGGTGTGGTCAACCGCCAAACGTTAGAGGTGGCTTTTTGCCCCATGCTACCCTACTTTGTAGAATAAAAAGATTCATCAAATTCAGTAAATGAATATATCGATCAAAATCATAGTGATGTTTTTTTAATATCTTGCTTCAGTTAAAAAATGTTGACATCAGTATTATTTTTTTATTATTAGGTATCTTCGACTCAGGCTTAATGTTTTATTATGTATATATAATGTGTGCTTATAAAAAAGTCTTTGTTAACACATAGCTGTGTGTGTGTAAATGACCATAATTAATACAATATTCTATAAATTTTACAGAATTTTTAGCATTTGTGTGATTGTAGTTTGTTTGTTTTTTTTCTCATTGAGATTTTATGAAAAATATTTATTAAAATTCGAGATAAATTTATTATTAGAATTAATCTTGCAAATATGGCCTATCTACAGTACGAATTGTAAAAATGTGTTTATCTCGAATTTTAATATTATTATTATTAATCATCATTGCCCTTAAGACAGTGCAAAACTTGAACCTCATCCTTTATTATTATTGTTAATAATTATATTTGCCCTTATGACAGTGTAAAACTTTAAAAACCTTCGCTAACTAATTATTTTCCTTTTTTTTGCCAACAATTTTTCATTTTTTCGCTATGTCATAAATATGTGATTTATCAGAGAAATTTGAATAAATGTTGAAGTAAAAATATTGCATGACAATTGTGTTGATGAAATTGATTATTATGAAGTTGAACCGTATATTGTTTAAATCATTTATAGAAGATAGTTTTGTTTTTATTTAATTGTCATTGTCCTCATCATTGTAAATATTTTCATCAACAACAAACTTTCAGGACTAAATCACGAAATTAAAAGTTTATGTGAAATAAACGAGTTACCAACTTTGTCTTGAAAAATTTAACTGCCTTAGTTATCTTACTTATAAATTTATTTAATTTATATACCAAAGATGCACTGAAAATGATTGCGGTCAGCGCTGCCTTTATAAATATATATAAATTGTTGCTGTTTGCCGAAACAGCGCTATTAGCCACGTTCCAATTTCTATAAAAAAAGACTTGGGGGAAAAAAAGAAATTGAACTCTGGGCAACATTTTTTCATAATTTGCATCAACAAAAACATCGACTTTATTTAATACATACATACATATATATATATATATATATATATATATATATATATATATATATATATATGTGTGTGTGTGTGTGTGTGTGTGTTTGTGTGTGTGTATTGTAAAATATCAGAATTGAGCTAGAGTGGTTGTGGAAGTTATTGCTTACATAGAAAAGTTCGTGTAATCTCCAATCTGCAGAAACTAATAATGTTTTGCCACTTGATAATTCCAGTTTCGTAATGTAAAAAATTGAACCAAAAAAATATTTGAGACTAAAGAGCATGCAAGTTTTTAGCTTAGTTCCATTGGATGGC